CTTCTAGGTTCAACGTGTTGTTCGTTCAGAGATGGTATTCTGCATACCTTGGTTGAAACAAGTTTTTATTTGAGTTACTGTTGCCTTTCTATCATCTTGAACCAGTCTGGCTGTTCTCCTCTGACCTCTGGCATCAACAAAGTATTTTCGCCCAGAGAACTGCCATTCACTGGATACTTTTAGGACCATCCTCTGTAAACCCTAGAGATGGTTGTGTGTGAAAATCCCAGCAGATCAGCAGTTTCTGAAATACGCCAACAACCATGCCACGTTCAAAGCCATTTTGAAGCTCGGTTTGAACTTCAGCAGGTCGTCTTGAACATGTCTACATGCCTAAATGCATTGAGTTGCTGCCATGTGATTGGCTGATCAGCTGTTTGCATTAACAAGCAGTTGAGCTGGTGTAACTTATAAAGTGGGCGTGAGTGTATAACACCAACAGTATGGAGCAGGGGCAGTAGAATGATACGACAGAACTAATGCAACTCAAGGTCCACTTACTCGCTTGTTCCAGAACTTTTGACTTAGTCATAAATGTCAGGTAAGTGGACCTTGAGTGGAGATTGTTTTATCAAATGCTGTTCCCAAGAGCGACTCGGTCCTTGAACAACAGAAGTGAGAGCTATGTATGTGCATTCCGCATGAATGTTTTTTCTGTTTTGCAGGCAGCAGCAGAGATGAAGCCTAAAGTGACTGTGAGCTCGTCAGCCTCCAGTGCCTCCTCCAACGCCTCCCTGCCAACCAGCTCCCCACCTGCTCAGGTACACAGTGCAACCACATGTTCACCTCACAGAAACACAAATATTTTCATAAACACAACTCAGATATACACTGATTACAGAACAAATATTAAAGGCATACTGGGAAAGATTTACCCAAAAAAAAAACATATATAGACTCATACAAAGTAATCCCAGTGGTTTTATCTGCAGAGACTGCCTTCTGCCTGTATTTCATTCTTACTTATTTGCATTCAGGATGTTCCTGGACACAGCACGCAAGGGAGGTCGGGAATTGAAAACACAATGCAGAAAAAATGCAAATATAGCGAAGTGAAACGCCAAGCGGCTAAAGCTTGCTCCAAAATGAGGGTGGCTTCACTTTCACTGCCGATGTTTACCAACAGTAACTGACAGTTCATTCAATGTATAACTTTAACAATATTATATTTTTAAGTGTTTGCCAAGCAATAATGCAGTTGGTTATGGAGGGTTTGGAAGCATATAGACTATATTAACTAATATTGAATTAAATAGGTCATCATCATGTGGCACGGTGGTGCAGTGGTTAGCATTGCTACCTTGCAGCAAGAGGGTTCGTGGTTAGAACCCAGGGTGGGGGAGCCCTCCGTTGCAGAGTTTGCATGTTCTCCCCATGTCAGTGTGGGTTTTCTGCGGGTACTCCAGCTTCTTCCCAAAGACATGCAGTTAATTGCTGTTAATGTGAGTGTGAATGGTTGTCTGTAGTCTGGCAACCTGTCCAGGGTGTGCCCCGCCTCTCGCACGATGTCAGCTGGGATAGGGATAGGCTCCAGCTCCCCCGCGACCCCCTACCGGATAAGTGGTTACAGAAAATGAATGAATATCCAAATCATTTTAACAAGAGGATGCATCACTTTACTTGATTTATTTTACTGTGACATGTCATAACACACATACAAGGTTGCTTTGTTGCTTCGCGCTGCCTCTACTACAATGAGGTATTAATTCTTATCATTCTTAAACAGATGTGCTCGTTTTTGAAACAGTTCTACATAGTTTTTACCTGATGGAGGGCCGCAGAGCCACACAGAGACAGGGATGATTAGACCAGCTGCCCCAAGATAGAGTTTAGCAGCGTGCCCGCACAGCCCAAGTATACGTTTGTGCCAAATTTGAAAAAAATATTAAAAATAAAAAGGCATTCCCTCAAGGTGTTCTTGAGATATCGTGTTCACGAGAATGGTACGGGTGGATGGACAGCCCAAAATCATAAAGGCTCTGGCTACAGCTGTCATGGGCACAGAGGCATAAAAAGCATTAGAACAGAGCAAAAACAGTAAGTAATAGGATGCTAAATAAAATCAGTTAAGATATTTTTAGAAATATATCATTTAAATAAAATACAAATAGACATAAAATAATAATAATAGAGCAGCATGTTAGCCTTTAATTTATTGATCATTGTTAATTGACCCGAACTCCACTCACACTGTGATGCCTGCCACATCCTGTCTGAATTAGTATGGATATGTGACACCTGGGTTTCTGAATCATGGATATGATGAAGGGCTTGAGTGTAGTACAACTGACTTGGTGCATGAAGTGGAATATTTCAAGAAATGACATAAAGTTATGAGAAAAAGTTGTAATATTTGAGTTAAAGACAAGAAAAGTCTTATGAAAAAAGTCATATGATTAGAATATTACAGCTCTTTTCTTGAAATAACTTTATTAACAGTACTGCTTTTCATGAAACTTTTTTTTTTTTATCCAAATGGATGAAATCATTGGGATACTCTGTAAGGGCAAACATAGTGTGCATTCTACATTCTGGGACACACACCAGACTCAGGACTATTCCATTGGTGACGACTAAAGCTGTGTCCTCATTTCAGAAAAGCTGACACTTGAGCCACTGGTTATGGCTCTGTTAGGGGGTAGGGTTAGGATTAGGCAGGTAGTGATAATTGTTAGGACAGGTTCCAAGGAAATGAATGTAAAGTGACCCCAGTGGCTGTGTGTGTGTGTGTGTCCAGGAGGAAAAGGCCCCGGAGTCGGCCCCAACAGCCGACAGTCTGGGTCTGGGCATGTCGCTGGCCCAGGCCAGAGAAAGAGCCCATCAGAAACGAGCTGCCAAGAAAGCCCCGCCCATGGACTGGAGCAAGAGGAACGAACTGTTCAGCAACTTATAAACATCACCATCATCATCATCATCGCCATCATCACCATCAGGTCCATTTCCTCCCAACCTGTCTGTACTGCCCTGTCTGCTCTCTGGATTCGGTTTTTACTTTGACACACTGTTTGTTCGGAACATTTTAAACTCCCTTGTTGAACAGTATTATTTGGTGATTTTTTTTTTGTTTTAATTTAGTTTTGCCACTTTTATTTCATGTTTTAATAATTGTTGATGTCACACAGGAATGAATGTTAATATATTAAGAAAAATGTTTAAAAGAGGAAAATAGTGATGTATAGTTTCTCATATGAAAGGACCATGTAAGGAATAACGGGGCACATGGGGGAATAATTATTACTGGCAGATTTTGAATTTAAAATCTACAGTTTAAACGAATGTCAGATTTTGATGTCTGCAATCAGCAACTAGAATGAAAGAATATCCTCGTCAGTATCTGTGAATGATCAATGCTGAGTAACTGTCCTGAGCCCTCACTGCCAACACAACCATTCCACGACAATCTGAATCATCAGTGTGTTTGAGTCTTAAGGTGGTCCAAGGAAAACAATCTGTCATGTCACTCCAGGGTTTCTGTCTTCATATATGATTCAAGGAAATCACACATTTATTTTTTCATGTTGCTCTTGATAGATGATTGTCCATACATGAATAAATGATTTTAGAGGACATTTTATTTGGACTGACCTGAGAGAAATGAAGCTCCTCACTAAGTTTTGTTGATTCTGCTGAACCTGCAGGAATTCAAAGCTGCATCTGTTGGTCTGAGCATCGACTACACATGAGAATTTTACCATATGAAAATATAAAGTGTGCAGATGCTGGCTCTGTGCTGTTAAATGTATTGATGAGCATTGATAAATATAATGTTTTGATCAAATGGAATTGAGTCTGGTTTGTAATGCAGTACATGTTTAACATTGGAAACTGATCTGACACAAATCATCTTAAAGCTGCACTAACCAGTATCAAAAACTAACACCCACTCACATCTTTTCATTTGAGTGTATAGCCCCTTTTCCGCTGGACAAAAACCCACTAACAGCTCCACATCAAAGCATCCTTGGATAAGATACTGAACCCCAAATTGCTCCCGATGGCTGTGCCATTGATGTGCGATCATGTATGAATGGCTAACAGAGTAGCAGGTGGCACCATGTATAGTAGCCCTGAGCCACCAGTGTGGGAATATATGTGAACTGGTGAAGTTGATGTGTAGCGTAAAAGCGCTCCGAGTGGTCAGAAGACTAGAAAGGCGCTATACAGATACAGGTCCATTCACGTTTTGGACATAAAAGGTCATTATTATTTCATAATATTAGAAACGTGTGTCAAATTTCGTCATAATTAGCGCATGAATTCTTGAGTTAAGGCCCAAAACATTATTTGTGGGGTCACAGTGACCTTGACCATTGACCATCAAGGTTCCAAGTTGACGTTTATACCAAATTTAAGTCCTTTAAGGCCTTCTTGAGATATTGCTTTCACAAGAATTGGACAGACGCAAGGTCACAGGACCTTTGACCAATATATTCTAATCATTTCATCCCTGAATTTAAATGGACGTTTGTGTCAAATTTGAAGAAATTCCTTCAAGGTGTTCTTGAGAAAACATATTCTCAAGACTGAGACAGACGAGGTCACAGTGACCTTAACCTTTGACCATAAAAATCAGTTTATGGTTAAGTCCAAGTGGAAGTTTGTGCCAAATTTAAGGGAGAATCCCTCAAGGCGTTCCTGAGATAACACATTGGTATGTATGGGGTCGATGGACGGATAGAAGGACAGATAACCTAAAAACATAATGCCTCTGGCAACAGCGTACAAAGAAGTTACCACCGTAACATTTTCACTGGCTTTCAAGCACTTTCTACTGTTTACTGACCTCTTCTGGCACATTTGTCACGTCCAAGCTTACAAACCACAAATATAACTGAGAGCCATACTCCTCTACTGGCGCTGGGGAAAGGAGTCTGTCGCTTATTTTTGGTTTTCCCACATTTAAATAACCTGCATATATGTGTTAATTTTAGTGGAAAAAAGGGTACAGAGTAAGTAGTCATCCTCACTTCCTATCTGAATACACCTGGACAAACTCTTCCTCAGTACAAATTCTCTTTTTAATGATTTTCAGGATGATACAGAATTCAATGGAAGTATTATTAAAAAGTAACAGGCATCCATCCAAACAGAACACAGGAATCAATAGTGCTAAATGTTATGTTTGATGTAAAAATACAAGTACACCTCGCAATCTTAAAAACATGCCAACTCCCTGATTTTTTTTACAGTGCATCCAAGACTTGGGAAGAACTTTCTGAGGGCCATTAAAAAAAAAGGACAAATGAAAAATCAAAGATGGCTTTTCTCTACTGAGCTCACTAACAGAGGATGGCTCACAGACAGACACTGAGTCGCACAATAAGTGTATGGCATTGGGTCAATGGCTGACAGTGGCGTTAGGTGGGTCAATCATAAAAGCATAGTTTTATGCAGTGAATACTTTGTAAGGTGCATTACAACAGAGGGAGAGGTTAATGAAAGTAAAATGCAACGAAACAGCTCCTAGTTCCCAAACATTACGTTCACTGTACAACCTTTTTGAGACATCCGGCTTCAGTAAACTTTGGTGATCCTGAATAACTTGCCTCACAAAGCTGGTTACCAGCTGGTTCTGTTAACTCTGACTTTATCAACCCAACTATAAGCTCATGTATATGGAAGAGCTAATCATATGCAACAGATCCATAGTAACATATTTAATGAAAGTACTGATTCCTGCTGGGGAATTCATTCATTGCAGCAGTTAAAAGTAAAAAAGAAAAAGCCAGAGTTAACCACAATAAGCTGTTTAACACACTGATTGCTTTGTGAGAGGTCCCTGCTCCTCAGCAGAGTCTGGAGTGTGCTAGGAGAATTTAAAGAGACAGTTCACCTCAAAACAAAAAATATATATTTTCCTTTTACCTGTAATGCTATTTATCAGTCTAGACCAGCCAACCATATCACCATGCAACTAATTCTAGCTTACGTAGCTCCACTGAGCTCGCTAACATTACAGCTCAGCCAAGGAGGGCGCTGTTAATGCTCATCTGACACTGTCACAAGCCTCTCATCTATGAGTAGATGCACACTTCCTTCTGCACAGTGATACAGCTGGTGGGTGTACTTTGGTAAAAAGAAAATATTTCCTACATGAAACTGCTCACAAGGTCTGTGGATTATCTTAAGCCCACAAGCTCACCTGGTGGGGCAGGTACCTCTTGTACAAAGGCTTTGTCCTTGCCGCAGTGGCTGCGATTCCAACCCTCAGCCCTTTGCAGCATGTCATTCACCCTCTCACCCCCTTTCACAGCATGACTGTACTGTCAAATAAAGCCAAAATGCAACCCCCCCGGCTGATATCTCCAACACTCTAAAACTTACACCAAAACAATTTTGACTTATAAACAACACCACAGGTAAGGGAAAAAATATGGATTCTTAATTTTGGGGTGAACTGTCCCTTTAAATGTAAAAAAAAAAAAAAAAAAGTAAAGAAAAAAACTTTGCAATGGCGTTTTAAAAGGTATCAACTTATTATTTGATATTATTTTATTTTTTAACATGTTAAAGTCTTTAATGATTCCTGTAGCACACTGCAGACTCCTCTATATACACCCGATCTCTAACAGTGTTGAGTCACTTTGAAATAATGACCATATTCTTTCAGATGACTTACTTGAAATGCTTTGTACTCTTTGGAATTCTTCTCTGAAACCAGCACACTTACAGTCAATTCACTTCATAGCACCCTGAGGCGAGCTGTAAAACCTTCCAAACTGTTAGTGGGAGGTGGACTGAGCTCCACAGTCACACCTGATGCACCGACAAGAACGCTTTAAAGACAGAATGTTTCTTCACTTAGTGCTGACAGAAGCCCCACAACGTGCCTCCTGAAGAGGATAAAAGACTTTGGTAAAAACATGTTGCAACACATCAGGAATACACTGCTTTAAATACAATAGTTTTCCCGTGTTATAGACAAGAAGCAGCAAAATATATATAAGACAGTTATGCTAATATACACCAGAATGATTTAAACAGTGAACTCCATTTGTTACAAAACAAACATACAGAAGTATAAATATATTCAGTATAAAGACTACACACATACACAGTGTCACCATAGACTCATCTATATATTTACAGGTAACATGAATAAAGTGGACCCTCATTCCCTTTAGTGATACTATACTGAACACACACACATACACACAGAGATGTGTGGAAGCTGCAGTTTGTTGTTCCTCCAATAACATTCCCAGGTGTGTGTCCTAAGGCGAAGTGCTCGCGTTGAAAAAAACTGGGCAATACTGAGGAAAAGTCGTGCAGGAAATCCTCAGATGTGCACTTTCTGAGAATTTCCCCCATCGTGGATAAATGAAGTTTCTGTTATGGATTTACCCAGAGTGATGGAGAGGAGCTGAGCCCTCCACTGTCTCTGCTCTCAGCAGCTTCAAAGGGAGCTCACTCTCCGTGTTTGGTCTGTCGCTCTCCTAAGAAAGGAAGTTTGTGAGGGCCTTGGGGGGGTGTCACTCCAACATAGCGTCCAGCTGGTCAGCCAGGTCGTCGAACATGTTGCCGATGTCATCCAGAATATTTCCTGCCGCCTTCACTGTGCTGCTGCCACTGGGAAACAAGACAGGACTGTGTTACAAGCAGACTGTTAACAGTACGTGGAGTTCAGTTGTTCTAGGTAACGCTGCTGAATAAAGTATAGTGCCTAGTTCATCCTCATATTGAATTTAAAAGAGCAGCATGAAGGATTTAGTGGCATCTGGTGGTGAGGTTGTAGAATGCAAGCAACTGAATAGAATGCTGCATACCGTAAAACTGTGGCTACACATTTTGACAAATAAACACCTGTCTCAATTAGACGTCTGGTCTGGTTACCACGTAGTTCATTTTTATAAACCTTTCTTTTTGGAAGTATAAAACCATGTTGTTTGCTGCCCACTGAAGCTAGGGTTAATTAGCTGCTTAGATCTCTCATACAGATATAAATGTTTAAACTTGCGTCAATATGGACATATTAGCTTGGTAAGATTTTCCACAATTCAATTGTTTGGTTCATTTTACTGAATCCATGGGCACCAGAGAAGACAGTAATTCATTCAGATTTACTGGCCTGGTAAACAAGACAGAGGCAAACAAAGTGGTGACTTTTGGTGACTTGGTTTTGATTAACATAATTGATACACTTCCTCATCCTGCATGTCCCTGAAAGCCCTTTTGTGGAACACACAACCAGCCTTCCAACATGTGAGTGCAGATCAGTAGTGCTTACCTGTCCACACTGCTCCCCTGCGCCAGTTTGTTCTCCACCACTTTGAGAGCAGCCTCCAGTGACGTACTGGTTTGCTCCAGCCTCTTCTGAGCCAGCACCTCCAGACCGGCCGTCCCTACTTTCCCTGTCTGACCTGGAGGTGCCGAGGTGGGGTACGAATGGGCCGGAGTTGGGGTAGAAGGAGCAGCAAACGTAACGCTCTGGACTACGTTGAGGTTCAGTCCTGAGGGAGCAAAGGTAAGGGATTAATCTGTCATCCAAACAACATGCATTTTGAGTTTGTTAGTTAGTTGGTTGGTTTGTGTTAGTGTGTGACATTGGTATTTTAAAGGTTTAGTTAGGATTTATCAGTGTCTCACAATAACAAACTGCCGATCAAGGCAGTGGTAGACCAGCAGCTCCAGTGCTCAGCAAGGTAAAATTACTGTTTTTGTCAATGGAGTCTGGCTTTGAAGACACAAAACACTCACTGTTAGTTCAGTTCCCTGTCGGAAAGGGCTGTCTGTTTTGGAAGTACTGAGCATACGACTGGATAACTGACACTTGGATTACACTGCACGAGTTGTGTGAAAGTTTGTAAACGGATGTTTTGATATAGTTTTGCTGTTGTAAAATGAGGACCCTTCTTACTTCCATTTTTTGGATTTTTGGTTCACTGTGGAGGCATACAAGAAAAACGTAGTGTTCTTCACGAATTCAATGAAACGCGGGGCGAGTAACTGATAAATAAATAATCACTATGTAGGTGAAGGATTCCTTTAATGAGGCAGAGATAGGCCTAGTCCATATGGAACCCTGTACTTCTGAAACCAAAGTTTTTCGGGCTCCAGTTTCCAAAAAAAAAAATCATCAACACGAGCGGTGTGATAAAAATATATGATATCCACACGAAACCGCAAACCCCACTACCAAGTGATGTGATACACATGCCAAAGCAGTAGGTGGCGATGTAACTTCTAACAGAAAGGCCATTTTAACCAATCAGAAGTCAGAGTCAATACCGTAATAAGGAAGTGCGGAAAATAAAAACAACCCGATCCACAAAAATAGCGCGACCTAATTCAACAGCAGAGGCGCCTGAATGACCAACTACACTACCACGAAAGCAGCGATGGGCCTGCCAACGGAGGTCCAACCCAGCCGTATCCATTACCTCCGTTGGCAGGCCCGTCGCTGCTTTCGTGGTAGTGGGTAGCTAGCAACAGGAGCATCCTCCTTCGTTTGTCGTTAGATTAAGCAGCTGGATATGCCATGCAAAGGGAGCAGATAGCACGCTCACAAATAAAGTTAGCACCAGCATGTTTGTTTGGTCTGCCATTTCACTAGCTATTTACTGTCGTTCTGACCTCAAACAATGGAGACAGGTAATAAAATACTGCGGTTATCCTATCTACACGCAACCACTGGCACCAAGTCTTCCAAAAATTTCACCCTGGACTCTGGTTTCAAAGAAATGCAGTTTCGGGGGCCCCAAAATTGCAGTTGCGTGTGGCCAAACAGCCAAATCACATAAAATAATACACGGTTTCAGAAGTACACGGGTCCATGTGGACTGGCCTTAGTCACAAAATAAGCCAAAATCTTTTTTTGCCAGTCTTACCTGCTGTTGATGCAGACACCATGCTGGGCTGAGGGAGTCTTGATACAGACAAACCAGCAGCTTTCTGGGGACTCTCTGGCTTGGACATCACTGTCTGTGGGTGCACAGGTTTGGGGCTGGGTATACATGTCTGTGTGTGAATGCTGCCGCCCAGTTTCGGGGAGACTGTGTGAATCTGTACACTGGTTAGTTTAGGAATGGCTGTTTGTGGACTAGCTGGTACTGAACAGACGGCTTTCTGGGGGGTTGTTGGTCTGCTGTTAGGGGGTTGTTTGAGTGGACTGGGAGGTTTTGAGGACACTGCAGGCTTTGGGCCTTTTCCCATGGAGCCCACTCTCTGGAACATAATCCCTGGCCTCTGAGATTCATCATCACTCTGCGCCCTGAATTCATTGTGCGTGTGAAGACTGTTGGTTTGCAGGTAGTGGTTGTCTTTGTGAGGGGAGGTAACCTCATCAGGTGTCAATGAGTCTTTGTCTTTGGGTTTGTGTCGTCTTTTCACCGTGTCAGACTCTTTCAGGTTGAACTCGGGGAGCTCCAGGCTGGTCGGAGTCTGGGCTGGACGTTGTGGAGAAGTTCTGATTTCAGTGTCTGCGTGGGTGACAGCTGACATCCTTGGCCTCTGTTTGATAGTGAGGTTGCCTTCTTCAGCGAAAGGGAGGTGGTCAGCGTGCTTCGGAGATGCAGTAGCACTCTTTGACATTCTTTCACTTTTCCTGTCTCTCTCTTCAAGTGTTTGCCTGTCAATCTCCATTTCTGTCCTCTCGCTTCCTGTCCTCCTCAGGCCCCCAACGCCCAGAGCAGGGACAGGTTTGGAGTGCTGTAGGATGACGTGAGGAGTCATCCCATGTGGAATCGGGGAGGAAACAGGAATGAAAACAGGTGAAACTGGGATATGAGGTGGAGGTATATCTATCCTCCTGGATGGGCTGCTGCTGCTGCTTCCCTCTAACCTGGCTGCGATGCTCCTCACACTGCCTGAGCTCTCTGTCTCCACCCTGCCCTTCACCTCTGGCTCCACCCCTTGTCCATTCCCCGGTTGGCGTGCCGGGCTGCCACTTACCGAGCTCATCCTCTTGGGCGGTGGTGGGGGAGGGCCTTTGCGTCGAGATCGCACAGCAAAAGAGTGGCTGCGGTTGATGTGGCGTTGGGCCCCTGTGGCACTCGTGTGCCCACGTCCCGGCCTGCGCGACAGGGTGGCATAGGAGGGCATGGCTCCAGAGGAAGCAGAGGTGTGGGAGGGAACAGGGTCGTCATCATCATCCGGTTCGCCATCAGACAAGGCGTAGCGAGTCAAGCTTTGGGCACGCTTCTTGTGCGGGCCCCTCTGGGCTTCCTCAGCTGGGCCCTGCCCAGGCCGGGGTCCCAGCAGAGGTACAGCTCCAGGCAGAGGCTTGGAAAGCACCCGTGGGGCCCCGTTGATGCCTCCTGCCTGAGCGTGGATGTAACTGAAGGCCTTCTGTGTAGGGGAAGGCTGCGGGGATGGGGAAGAAGGGGAGGGAGGTGGATGATGCTGAGGCTGATAGAGGCGGTTTGGAGACTGGAAGTGTTTGGCCTTGGGTGGGACGGCCGGGTATGCAAAGCGAGGCATCTTGCTGGGGGTTAGCGGAGGTGTTAGGGGGGAGAAGGGGAGTTTGTTGGGGGTAGCTGAGCGACTCTGGTGCTCCCACATCTCTGTAGGTCTCTGTCTACCTCTGCCTCCAGGACTGCTTCCCCCACGCTTGGCCTCCTCCCCTGCACCGCTCCCTAGACTCTCCTCTGACCGGCTGGATATCTTGGCTGAGGACGGTGCAGCCTGGTGATCTTGAGAATATCCTGAATTTCCAGAATTCCCTGATCCCCGCGATCTCATGCTAATGCTCTCCTGACTGACTGACATGGCAGATATAACTGCTGCAGAGGTCACGCCCCTGATGCCGAATGCCTCTGTAGCTCCTCCCCCAGCTCTGCCCATCATAGCACTCTGCAGCTCGGCGCTCAACTCACTGTCCTGGAAGGACATGAGGGTCCTGGGGGTGCGAGGGGAGGGGCAGCAGTCGTCAGAAGGAGCATCAGAGCGGGCATGAGCGTGAGCGTGCACATTGTGTGTTGGTGTGTGTTCAATGGCCACCAGCTCCAGGGCAGCAGGGGGCTTCCGTCGAAGAGTCCCACCTCCAGCTCTGTCGGCATGGTTACGAGAGCGCTGCAGGTCACAAAGTCTCTTCACTGCTAACATGAGCTTCTTCTGATGGCCTGAAACAGAGAGACAGCAATCACTACAATCTACTGAATACAGAACACAGAGCTTCCTATTATAAGTCAGCTGCTTTAAAGATATACTACCAATATGTAGAATTCTCCTAAAAAAAAAGAAATAAAACAATGTATAGACTCATACAGAAGTAATCCCTCTCAATTATCACTTACGACCCACTAGAAGTGTGGGGATGTATTTATCTGCAGAGACTGAGACAGTAAAGTTTTAACAAACATGTATGTGTTTGGGAAGTATGTAGCAAGCATACGACTGGATAAATGAGACTTTTGGATTATACTGCATGAGTTGTGTGAGTTTATAAACAGATGTTTTGATATAGTTTTACTGCTGCTAAACGTGGCTCCCTATGACTTCAATTCAACAAGTATTTTCTCTGTTTTTGGATTCTCTGTTCATTGTGGAGGCATGTAACAAAAACAAAGTTTTCTTCACAAATTGAACATAACACAGGGCGTGTAACTGATATACAAATGGTCAATTGGGGGATGAAGTATGCCTTTAAATTAGTCATCCCTCTTTGAGTTATTGCTAATTTTCTTAATTGCTACAAAGTATGTAGAAAACATTTAAATGAAATTTATTCATGGTCTGAAATCACTCAATTTCTATCACAGTAAAAAATTGTAAAATGAATGTGTGAAATTCAAAAAACAAGATGTACAATCTATAGCCTCTCTGGTGACTCCTAGAGGTGCAACACCAACAATATGTTACGTAAAGGGTTCAAATGAGATTTTCATAGTGCAATAACCATTTTAGAAAATACCACAGTTTCACGGTATACGGAATTACACAATGCGTGTGCCGTAAAAAGTGTGACAAGCAGTCAGGGAGAGAATGAGATGTGCGCACACAGGTGAGATTCTCTGTTTGGTAGCTTTTTTAAAAATACCGTAGTAAAGCAAATGTACATGGTATGATAATCGTCAATTTTTAGCCCATGGTATACCTTGAATCTGGTACACCACTGTAACCCTAGTGCTGTGAGGCGTCAAGTTTATTTGGAGACACAAACAAGAGCAAGTTCAAATGGACATAAAAGGATCTGAAGAGAGTGAAGAGTAAACATTTAAATATGGAACAGCTTCATCCTTTGGGGACATCCACAGCACATACATATTCGGTCTAATTGCTCACCCAGTTTGGTGATGCCTATCTCCTGCAGGTCCTCCCAGGTAATGTCTTTGACGATAGTAATGGAGTCATAGCCATTGTCACACAATCTCTTCTGGTACTGAGGCAGTCCAATCACACTCAGCCACTCTCCCAGGTCAGACTGAGAGCAACAAACAGACAGTCAGAATCATTTTGGGTGTTGTGCTTAGCTAATTTTAAGTAGCAGTATCAACTGTGTGACCATGATGGAACACAGTTAGACACATGTGGTTCAGAGTATTACAACAAATCCAAGAGAAGTAGCTGCATTTCAGGGTTGTTACAACATGTGAGTCAGACATTAGAGGTGTGTCCTCACAGGAATGTAATCAGGCAGCCACTCAGGGATGCTCAGCTTGCAGATCTCCATTGAAATCTTCTTTCTGTGGCCTGGTTTGGTCACTCCAATAGCTGTCAGGTCCTGAAGGACAAAACATACAAAGGCAGCCAGTGAATACACAACATCAAAAAATGAGGACAAAAACATTTCATCATTCAAATATTGGCAATGCTTCAGTACTATATACAATATTTACACAATTCATCAATGCTAAAATGCTAACTGTAATACACGTACCTCAGGGGTCATCCTGCTGATGGTGGGTACATCATATCCTGCACTGATGAAGTTAGATGTGTACTGCTCCAACTGGAACTCACATAACCACTGGTAAATGGCCTCAGAGTCCTGACAACAGAGACGGAGGATGTTTAGGAGGCATCTCTCTCACACAGCTACAGCACTAAAGTACTCAACTGACCTTGCCCTCCAGAAGCTCCTCTGGCCTCACGAAGCCTTTCTGAGGAGTGCCGTTGACCTGCCGACGGGAACCACCTAAAAAACACACATGATCAATCCTACAGGACGACAACCTCCGCTGTGCTTTATTGTGAGTGTGTGCAGGGTCAGCACACCCTGGGGGAAAAAGGAGACACTGTTAGAATATCAAGAGCCCCCTAGACAAAGACGACGCAACAGCAAGTGTGTGACAAGTGAGTCAAAACTGTATGTAAAAAAAAATATGCTAAGAATAATACACATTTGATCAAGTCATTTGACCCCAAATGATCATTTGTATGTCAAATACTCACCCCTTATTACATTGACTTTATGAAGAAAACGTTGTTTTTCTCACATGCCCCCATGGTGAACGAAGAATCCGAAAACTCTTGATTAATTTAAGTCATAGGGTCTGCATTTATCAACAGCAAAATTATATCAAAACATCCATTTACAAAGTCTCGCACAACTTGTGCAGTTTAATCCAAGTCTCATTTATCCAGTTGTATGCTCAGTACATCCCAGACCTCGTCAACATGTAACTGAACAGAAAGTTAAACTTAATCTATGCTCTCTTCAAATCCAAGCTCAATTGACAAAAACAGTAATTTTACCTCACTGAACACGAGAGATGCTGGTCTACCACTGCTTCTGTCAGTGTGACTTTGAAGGATCTCAAATTACCCTTTAAAACAACAGAGTCAAAGAATAACATGAACCAACCAATCAAGGCAGTGGTAGACCAGCAGCTGCCATGTGCAACGAGGTAAAATACTGAGCTTCCAATTGGATAAACGAGATTTGGATTATACTGCACAAGTTGTTTCGTGTTCTTTTTGTGAATGGATGTTTTGATATAGTTTTGTTGTTGCTGTTATTCACCTTATGACTTCAATTCGATTCTTCGTTCACCGGAGGCATGTGACAGAAATGTTTTCCTCACAAAATCAACATAACATAGGGTGAGTACAGTAATTGATATACAAATGGTCATCTTGGAGGTGAAGTATTCCTTTAACTTAAGTCATGTCAAACTCCGTTAAATCAGTCTTCTCCTTGCAGCTGTCTGGGTAAGAGAGGTTGTTGTTGTTGGGTCTCTCCTGGTGGGTTAGGGTGTGTTATCTACCTGATCTGAAAAGCCACTGAGCACACTCATGACTCATCTCTCTTTCAGTCATGACACATTACCACAGATCTCAGAGGAATGCACCTTTCCTCCCATTTTCTCTTAACTTTGTCTGTCTTTTTGCCTGAGGCGAGCATTTTGTTCTTTTAGTCAGTCTCCTGACAGGGTCCATCACCTTTTAATTATCACAGTCTATAAAGCACCTTTCCGAACACCCAAATACACTTTGCACAGCCAAAGTAAGTAATGGAGGAGATAGAAAACCAAATCCAAAAAAAGGGAAGGACAATTGATTTGATTATACCAAGAAATTACAAAGTTATACCAAGTTCTTTTGTGATTTGGATGAACTGAAAATTAGTGGAGTGATTGAAAAGACAACAGATATTTTTAGCCTGAGGTCCTTGATTAAGGGCATAGGTTAACAACACTTAAGACAGCTAGCCCAGCTCTGTCCACAGTATGAAAACACACCTACACATGTCTAAACCTCACTACATAAATATTGTGTCTCATAACAGATATAATAAAAAAGTATTTGTTCTCAGGGGAGTTGAAGATGCTGGGAACTACTTTTTGGCTGGCAGCCAGGCACAGTGATTTCCTGGAGCCTTGTTATCACCATTATTCTACCAAGTTTGTGCAGACACCTATCCTAATAGGCAAACAAGTCTGTTTGAGCATATAACTCCTAAACCCATAAGTGCTATCTTTAAATATCTGTTTGTGTAGAGACTAAAGCAACAAGGTAAGTGGTGGGCATCTTTTTGAACAGGCCAGGCTAGCTGTTTCCCCCTGCTTCCAGTATTTATGCTAAGCTAGGCTAATCACGTCCTGATTCTATTTCTATACTAACTGCAGAGACACCACAGTTATATCAATCTTCTCATCTGACCCAAGCAGCAACCTCCAGGGCTGAAAGAGGAAGGCAACAAGTCACTACCATGGCCACTATGTTGGTTAGGTAATGTGACCATGGTGTAGCCCTCGATTCACAGAGCATAGGCACAACTTTAGCTGTAGCTACTTCAGTGTGTTTACAGTTCATGAAAGTTAATTGTAATGTTTTGGGTGCCTAAAAAAGCCTGTTCAATGTTTAAAAGACCCCCCAAGGAGTCAGACATTCAGTTTTGCCAGTACATTTTGTTTTAATGGTTTTAAGTCTGTTTTTACCATTAGCACTACCTACAAAACAGGCTGAAAGTTAGCATTAGCATTGAAAACTACCAATAACATTAGTATTACCACAGTTAATAGCTGTAAATGCACAATGCTAACCAAGCTAGCAGCTAGCATTATGGGTTATTTCCATCCTCTCGTCAAAAAATGGTCACCTCTGGCTCCAAAAATCAAAGATGGCGACAGCCAAACTGCCAAACTCAAGGCTTAAAAATGGGAATCCACAGACCAATGGGTGATGTCATAGTAGCTATGTCCATTATTTTATACAGTCTATCATCTAACCCCAGGAAAGTAAGTGGATACATGTGTTTCCTAATTATTTAAGATAATCTCAACATTTAGATGCCCTGGGGCCAAATCTGGACCTGGCCCGTTCTCATGTCTGTGTTGCTTATCTTTCTGTATTCTATATTTGCTCTTTTTTGAGTTTTTATTTTTCTCTACTTTGTTGTGAAGGTCAGGGGCCCTGCTATCCCAGTACAGTAGCTCGTAGAGAGGTATTTGGCCTCAGGGCAAAAGAAAACTTTTAGGTCAAGATGCAGGCTGCTCTTCACAAAGGCAAAATGAAAAGTGTGTACACTGCAAAACACATTTGGCTTAATATTATATATCAATATAAGTCTGGAATACAGTCCTAAAAAGAGCTGGTTGTTCAACAGTTTCTTTGCATCTGACAGTCATAACAGAAAAGGAAGAAAAACTGGAGAAAAAGTAGGACTGATATTAAATTTATGTCCTAGAAATTCTACATTCAAACTCAGAGTATCAGTTCATCAGGAGTATTTTCTCTGGTTTCATATGCACTTATCTTTACACTGTCTGAATAAACAAACACAGAGTAGACTCCTCTGCTCATATCTAACAACTGAAAGTACAATAAATGTGAATTAATGCTGGATCCCCGGCAGCTACCATAAATCATCAAACAATCCTTACATGACTTCTTACCCTTTAGGAGGAAGGAGAGCGTCAGAGCTCCTGATGTTTGGCACTTCATCCTTCTTTCTAACTATCCTTCATGCAGAGCAGACATTTCTTTCAGTTCAGTCCTCTGATCTGTTCTCTTTCTCCCTCTGTCTCCTTCACTTAACAAATATGTTTTGCTCTTTCTGCTTCTGTTCCTGTCTCCTCCCTCTGACCCCTCCCTCCCACTCCTCATTTCTCTTCTCCTTCACTTTAAACCTCCTTCCTATTCAGCCTGAGGTCAACAGAGATCCTCTACTTCATTTAGCATGTCACTCTCTAACACTTTAAAGGCCCCCCTCTCAATAAGTCCAGAGAATAGCTGCAACACGTGCGCTTTTCTAGGATTTTTCTGCACCTGCCCTTGAGATCTAAAAGCACGCACACACACACACAAAGACACGTTCTGGTAGCCCATAGTGCTTCCCTAGAGAGGTGATCAGGTGCTTTTATGGGTTGTGTGCTTGAGAGAAGCGTGTGGTTTTATTGGTTTCTGTGGTGAGGTGTGCTTGTTCTCTGTCCTCTCATCTCACATCCTTGTACACTGACAGCAACAACAGCTCAAGCTGCAGAACAAAAGCACTATTTGTCTTTAATTGCATTCCTCAAGTGCATAAATATTTTTATCTTCCAAAAGAGTAGGAGAAATAAATTGGAATTTTTGGAAAATGTCATAAAATAAAGAAGTAAAACTGTAATACTAGTAAACAGTCTGTCACCTTTCATGTGTCAAATGAGGAATGTGGACGACAAGAAGTTATAGGTTTCACTAATAAGTATCATTACCCTAGATTTAAGGCCATGGAAAAGAAATTAAATCAATTACACAATGAACACTATGAGTCTGTAACTGAGCACAGTTTGAAGTAGCATCTAAAGCACAGCAGGGACTTGTTTTATTCCAGACAGCTGAGTCAAAGAGTGCAGAGATCAAAACACAAATTCATGGCATCAGAAAAGGATTAAAGCTCAGGCTTCATGACTCTCTGGAAATTATATGAAATGGAGCCAGAATGTACTGGGGGACTGAGACGACTGTATGCTGCACTTCATCTGAGGAGATGGGAAAGTTAACCACACATGCATTTGACAAACCAATCATTGTCTCCATCCTCAGAACCCAGGCCAATTACACTCCCAGGTTGTCAATATCTACACTGTGTCACACCCCACAGCGTGTGATATCGACCTGATAGGCACCCTTTAGTGTCTTTATGAGACGCATCAGGCTTTCAGCTAACTCTAATGTAAACCTGTCAGTGGCAAAACTTGAAGCCAGAGCAACTGACATAGTACAAGGAGCGAGAAAGTCTGTGTAGGGTGGAAGGGAGGGGAAGTGTATGAGCCAAACAAAACAAGACCTTCACGCAGTAGGCTGAAGCTCATGTCATTGTGAAACCAAAAGTCACTGATGTTTTAACCAAGCGGTAAACTCCAAGGCAGAAAAATTAAGCCTTTACACAAGTGCCAAAAACTGCAGTTCCTCAGATGGCCACTTGAGGTTGGCTCTAAAACAGAATGAGTCCCCATAAACCAGTAGCCTCGCGTCACCAGGGTCGTTTTTATGCACTCTGAATTTTGTCTGGATTCTAGTTCCGGTCTAGAAAGCGGATGCAGAATTCACCAAATTCACCAAAGTAAAAGTGTTCACCAAAGTAAAACTTTAAATTCTGGCGCACCATCGATTTGGGGTGATGAGGGGTGTAAGAAAATCGATTAACTTAATGGCTTGGGGCTTTTCTTGTAAATTATATTCTTTAAATTAAAAGTTTCACTGCATTTTTATTAGCTTGGTGCTTTTATTTTGACGGAAAGGCGCATCCATTGCATTCCGGATCCTGTCTCACTCGCCCTGGTTCCGTTTCCTTACCAAAACGGCCACTAACGGCCCCAGACTAATAAACCAGTGGTTCCCAACTGATCCAGCCCAGCCACCAGATCCAGATTTCTCCTTAGTCATTACTTAAAGGTCCACACAGTTTAATCTACTCAGCATAGTACTTGCATTTGGCCACATCATTGAGCTAGTTTGCTGTCTCTGTTAAGTAGCTGTCAGTTAGTCAGTCACTCTACAATAGGAAATGGCAACTTAAAATAAAAGCTGCCTCTGTGCCAAATGTGCAAAATTAAGTGTGTTTTTGATAAACCTGGCACATTCATGAGTCACTTGTGGTCCATTTAGAATGGACCCATGACCCACTTTTGGACTGCAACCCACCAGTTGTGAAGCAATGCCATAGACCACCATGCTAAAATGCCCAAATTTACTGCAGAAATAAACACTATTACAGCCTGGTACAAAAAACAGTTTCGGTCTCTATAGCTGCTTTCAACATTCATGACACCTGTACGGGGGGTTCATTTCTTTGTAACTCACCTGTTTACATTTTATTAAGGCTCAAAGTTATGTATATTTAAGGGCAGGGCCACCTGAGTGGCAGGCCATCTTTGAGCCGTTGCTACAGTCTGTGAGTTGGATTCACCCTTCACTCCTCCACAGTACCAACCTCTCATCCAAATATGGTCAACTCTGGTTTTAGGAAATCAAGATGGCGACGGCTGAAATGCCTACCTTGGGGCTTAAAAATTGCAGTCCATAAAGCAATAGGTGACATCATGAAAGCTACTTCCATTATTTATACAGTCTGTGGTTTTAACGTAGTGTTGCATAATTTACTTACATCATTGCGCAGTGACGTCACCCATGTAACTTATTTACATCATATTATGTAACAAACATACTTTTTTTAATACAAAACATGGTCTTTTTTCTGAACCGTACTAGGTAATTTTGTTGCTTAAACCTAACTACTCATGACATTAACCACATGTTACAATGTGTTGCAGCTGTGCATTACCTAGAGACGCTAAAGGGTGCCCTGTGCGTTGCACCGAGGGGTGTGACAAAGCATTGGTATTTGATGACCTGAGAATGAGACCGGGTTGGCCTTCCCCACCTCTGTCAATGCACAGCCTCTTTTCCAAGCTGTTCAGTAGATGCAGAAGATAAGACACGACTAACAGGCACCTGTCACAGAGTTATACTGCTCAGCAAAGGGGAAACCAGAGGTGACATAGCCTTCAGACCACAGAGATGTTTACCAGTCACAGAAAAGAAAAAGTAGTAACTCTAGGGTATGTATGGACCTTCTGGAAATTCTATGACTACCCAATCTGATCCTACCGTACATACATACATACATGCATGTATGTATAACATAATCCGTTCTCAGGAGCAAGATTTTCATTGTAATCCTATGACATTGCTCTCATAATAGTATGACTTTCTTCTGTAACTGCAACTTCTTACTGGAATATTAGATGTGGTATGTAGAAAGGAGCTGAGACAGAAAGAAATCCTAACATAGATCTGATAGGATTGTTAATTAACACAAGAAGAAGACAGAAGAGGTTTTATTCCCTGACCAACCTGTGGATCCATCAGCCTGTTTGCTATGGTCTGCTCCTGCAATGTGGAGATGATCTCCTGATTCACCAGCAGAGGGAGCCAGCTGTACACAAAAAATCATAAAGACAAACGCATCACTAAATCTCTAGACTGGCTGAGGTCCACTGCAGACAACATCCAAAATGTCAGATTTGATCATCTTGTATTTTAATGTTCATTCATTTATTCAACCAAGTGAAACACAATGACAGTGTGCAGAACTTGTGGAGAAATCGGAGTAGACCTAACCTTGCCAGTGTCAGCATTGTGGCGATTTTGAATCCCATTCTGTTTGTGGCCGCTCTCTGAGCTCTGGCCGCTACCGGCACTGCGGCTGCTGCCCACACTGCCTGCACTCCCAACACTGTTTCTGTCACCTGAGAGAAAACAGACAGAGAGAGAGAGAGAGAGAGAGAGAGAGAGAGAGAGAGAGAGAGAGAGAGAGAGAGAGAGAGAGATCACAGTGTGGAATCAGATCTGCATAGAATTTGATAATTAGGAAATGAGGAGAGACAGCAAGGTTGTAGGGGGTCATTTGCAAGTTAAGGTATGTGGTCTGAGTGCACTGCAAATAAGTTTTTTAACAAGTCATTAGAAAGTCCTATTCAACCTTAAAGGGTTAGTCCACCATTTTAGGAAATACCCTTATTTGATTTCTTTTCAAAAGTTAAATAAGAAGATCAACACCACTCCCATGTCTGTGGGCAGGTATGGACCAATAACTGTATATAAAGATGGAAGGCATGACAGCTCCCCAAAAGTGAAGCCAAAACATCTTGATTGTGCCCTGGTGGCTGACTGCACCACAGCACATAAATCCCACACCCTTTATGTTAGCGGATGGGATATGGGCCAAATTCACAACTTAAAGTACACTCAAAGTAGTTTTTATCACGCTGATAAGGTAAGTTTGGTTTTATTAGTTATTTGATGCTATAAAAAGGAGGCGTGGCATTGCCGCTGACAGTTGTGTGTGTCAATGGGTGTGTAGCAGCTAGCGGCGCTGCTCATTATTGGGTCAAATGGGTGTATGGGCGGGAACCCAAAACCACAGCTTCACTTCCCCAGCACCACTGCACAGACCCTGGTTCCAAATGGCGTCACCATTGCAAGGTGGCAGTGGCGGTATGTGGGATATTTCGGCTTCACTTTTGTACGGTGGGATAAAGTGGAGCTGGTTATCCAACTTTAGATACAGTCATTGGTATTAGGCTAGAGCTGGGAGGCAATTAGCTTAGCTGAGCATTAAGACTGGAAGCAGGAGGAAACAGCTAGCCTGGCTGGGTCCAAAGTTAGAAAATAGGCCTCTTGAAAGTCTAATTGTCTTGTCTTTAACCCATACAATAAAAGAAATGTAAAAACAACAATGTGTTATTCTAAGGGGGAGTTACATGGTGTAGTGAACGACAATTTATCCATACCAGCAAGAAAGTGACAGCATGAAATTCCCATAGAATGTAAAAAATAATGGATGTAGCTACTGTGACGTCACCCATTGGTCTGTGGACTATATTTGGGTGAGAGGGTGGCGCTGTGGAGGTGGTGGATCTGACTGAGAAGCCAAGACAATATGGGTGGACAGTCTATTATTAAAGCAGCCCCGTACTTCAATATGTGTCACTTTAAGCCTTAATAAAGTACTTCAATGTTGGCTTCATCTTCCAGCTCTGGGGGTTGCCGCTTGGAAATTTCCCATAAAACCACAAACTGTCATTTCTATTTCTGTTATTGTATGAATTAAACAATCAAGATACAAACGTGTTGATTAGTAAGCTTCTATGTTAAGCTAGGCTAATCATATCCCAGCTGTAGCTTTGACTTATCAATCAACTTATCTAACGCTCTAACCTAAAGCCATTTAGCATATTTACAAAAATATCATATCCTAGTGTTGCCAATTTCAGAAAAGATCTGGAATTATAGATAACATTATCTCTTTGGTTTTGAAAAAACAAACTATAATTTCCATAACTCAACACTACATGAAATGACTTGTTAAGATAATTGTTTTTCATAGTTTTGCTGTGCTGGTTTTCAGGGTGGAGCCAGCTGCACCAACAAGCTGCAAACGTGGCCTGTTAGAAGTAACACAGGAGTTCGAGGAAAGGCCTTAAAGGAGTGCTGCTCACTTACCTTTATGTACTGCTGCGACAGAACTCAGTGGTTATGATTACAGGATTATTGGGCTGTGGGTTGGAGGGGGTGACAGAGGGGAGGCGTGGGATTTGCAGGGTGGCATGGTTAAGGTCAACACATAGGGGATATGAAGGGATACAGACAGGAATAAGCTTCCTTAAAGAGGCCCAGTTTATCAGAGTGGCTGGGATGGGATCTGACCTACAGGTTCACACAGGGTAGGTTGTGGGTGGCAGGGGGTTTGGGACCACACACCCTTACCAGTGGGAGAGCTCCTGAGGACCCAAATGTCCTGAGTGGGGCTAGCAGGACTAGCTGGGGTTGAGAGCTGACTGTCAGGTGGAGCACCTAACAAACACATACACACTTTAGACACACACTCACTGTAGCTGGGACTGGACCTACTGTATTGAGCTGACACTGAGCACCAGAGGTCTGATCAAAAGGAGACTGGGATCGGGGTGCTGTTTGGGAAGGAAATCTGAAACCTGGGTACACAAACGGAATATAAGACAATGGGCCCCTGGGCACAGTCATGTAAAGGGCCCTCTAGACTGATGCAAAGGAAACAAGGGTTGTGGGCTGGGGGGCCCGGTTTTTATCTCCCCAGGGGATGTATATTAGCCATTCTCATAGTGGTGTACTTCCACCACACACCGACACCAAGCCAGCACTGGACAAGTTGTATGGAGGTACAGGATGGAGACCTCATGGCCAGAGGCGCCTTTAAATGTGGCCGGAGATTTATGCCATTGTGAGTGAAGTCCTGCCAAGATATCACCAGCACATCAGCTGTCCCACCCGTGGAGGTAACTTGCTCGACCATATGTACACTCCTTTCTGGGAGGGACATGAAAAAGCTTGTGGTCGTATTGTGTCTTTGGTCATATTGCGTCTCTTTGTGGTGTATTACCTCTCTGTGGTCTTAGTGTGTCTCTGTTTGTTTTGTATCTCTTTGTGGTGATATTATGTCTGTTTGTGGTCTCATAGCATCTCTTTGTGCTCGTATTGCGTTCTTTTGTAGTTGTATTGAGTGTCTTTGTGGTTCTATTGCATCTCTTGGTTGCCAAATTGTTTCTCTTTGTGGCCATGTGGTTGTATTGTGTCTCTGTGTTCGTTTTGCATCTGTGGTGATGTTATGTCTCTTTGCAGTTGTATTGAGTCTCTTTGTGGTCACACTGCATCTCTTTGTGGTTGTGTGATGTCTGTTTATGATAGCATTACATCTCTTTTTAGCTGTTTTGCACCTTGTGTGTTTGATTGACTTTCTCACTAGAAATAATGACAGTCACTTCAAACAGAGGAGGGCCCCTAACCTTTTGGGCCACTGGGCCTGTGCCCAGTAGGTCTTTTCAATAATCCATCCTCACCTGGGAGGACATGAATGTGTCACAGGTGGTGAACCGAAACCAAACAGATGGGAGGAAGTTGGTCAGTGTGTGTGTGTGTGCGTGTGTGTGTGTGTGTGTGTGTGTGTGTGTGTGTACCTGTGGGATCATAGCCAAGGGTGTATGAGTCATCAGTCTGAGGGGTGGGGCCATGGCTTGAGGAAGGAGCTCTGGATGCAAAGTGTTGACGTTGGCAAGGCATTGAGGCTTGGCGGGAGAGAGTGCCCCCTAGGGTCAGGGAGACAGGTTCGGGTTGAGGTTGGCATGGATGAGTGAGGGTAAGAAGTTCATGTACATGCATGTGTGTTTGTCAGTTTGGCCTGCATGCACAGGTACAGGCTGAGGGACGGCAACAAAAACCACCATTTTAAAGTCTGTTGAGCACATTATGAACTTTGTCATGTATTCTTGTTCATTGAATATTTGGAGGAACAACTAAAAAAGGGCAGAGTCACTGTAAATCCCCTCTGGTGTTACATAAGAGGCTGTTGAAAGAGAGTGTAAGATCACCAGCGACGCTCAGAGGGCTTACTTTTCCTTTGTGTGTTGTTGGTCCATGGTTGCTGACACCATTGACATTATCACAGAGCTCAGGCACGCACACACATACAGACACGTGCACACACACACACACACACTACTGAGTTTGCCTCATAAGCAAAGAGCCTGTCAACGACTTAAAGTCAAACTCTCTTTCTCTTGTCTGTTCTCCCTCAAGCATGAGCACACACACACACACACACACACACATACACACACACACACACACACACACACACACACACACACACACAATATCCCAACGCAGACTGTGAGGGCTTTAGCACTGAGCTGACACTTTGCAATCTGGCCATAATAATCCTATTAATGTGTGTCTGTGTGTGAGTATCTACGTTTGTGTGTATGTGTGTGTTTCCTGACTTGTCGAGGACCTTGAAATAAAGTGTTTTAGTTTGTGAATGTGTGTGTGCATCTATGTCTGGAGCTGTTATTGGACCCCTCACTGTGCTTGTCCCGCTGTTTGAATGTCAATGGCTTTACAGCTGCAAAACAAGCAGAGGGATCATATTCCTTTCATTCACAGGGATTAAATCAGATGATTTACAAGCACGCTGAACCCTCCAGTGATCATGCATGAAAACATGATAGATCCTGCCTGTGTACAAGTGTCGAGATATATTCTTGGCCCAGATATATCCATTGCCTTGGGTCAAGTTAGCCCATTTAACACTACTCTGTCAGCTCAAGCCCACAGTGTGCAAGGTCCTATGTGTCACTAGGGAGAAGTTATTATAGTATAACTCAGTAAGTATTTATTCCTGCTGTGCTCTCAGTGGTCTTCCATTAAAAGATAACTTTGGTATTTTTTTGTGTGTGTACAAGTAACTAACGAAAATGACAGTTTTTTTAAATTGGTCCAATTTTGAGCTAGAGGGCTGCAGGCTGCAATGTAACCACTCCGCATTTGTGCATCATCAATATACATCCACTAAAAGTGTTTGTTTTTTCCACTGACAGGCTCAGATTGTTATTATAAATGTCTGACAATATCATGAAAATGATCCCTACAGAGATAGAGCTTGTTTTTTTTTTTTTTTTTTAAAAAAAAAGTAAGATCCTTTTGGTTTAACCAGAAACAACCCTGAAATCGCTATCACCAAACCCACTGAAAATAAACAGTAATTTAGCGTGTATAGCACCAGCATATTTTCACATCCAACTGGATAAAATTATTTTATTATTATTTTGACCGAACTAGAGTTAGTGACTGATGGAACAGTGGAAATATGAATCAAGGTGCCTTTGATAGTTTTATTTGTTTCTGTCAACTTTGAATGAAGTGTGTTTTACAATGAAAAAATAAAGTTTATTTAAACATAGTCTGGTGGCTCAGGCGTAAGCGTTTTTAGGGCCATTTCTGGTGAAACAAATAGGATCTCACATTTTAACAAAAAGGTAGGGTCTTTCCATACTATTATCAGACACTTAGAGTTACAGTTAAGCCTGTCAGTGACAAAAACAAGCACTCTTAGTGAATGCCAATTAGTGCACAACAGCCCATTCACATTACATTGCAGCCTGTTCACAGGGGTCTTGCTCAACACTGGACCACTTTCAAAAATTGTTCCCGTTACTCACACACAAGAACATCAGAAAATAGAGTCCAGGTTGGAAAATACTGAAGTTAACCTTTTAAGAAATAAGTAACACTTATTGCTTTTTTTAATTGGATGTTTTCAAAATCAAATGCATAAAAACATAATAATATATGACTTCTTCACTCATATAGTATAAAGTCATGTGCATGGTTGTACAAAACTTTTCAGAGGGCACCAGGGCAAAAATTTGCTATCAGGCCTCTATGGACACCCCACTCTTGAACTAACCCTAGGCCTTTGGAGCCTACTTGCCCTTGGAGCCCAAGGAGGGTACGGTTAAAAAGAAATAGGCATTAATGTACAAGCAGTAACTAGTCGAGGTCTGAAGAATTTTCCTAGCTGGCATCGGACGTCAATAGCTTCAGAAAGACACTGGACTCGCACAGCGTACTTAAGTTAAATTATGGTTGGAATGAAAATCGAGTTGATGCCATTTAAAAAGTCTAACAATGGTAGAATTTCTCATTGTGTTGATGTTAACATGATGACATTTTGCAAATGTTGGGTTTTGTTCTCCATACTGTGTGACTAAATGTCATTATTTTACATCAAGATGACGTTGGCATGAGACGTTTGGAAGACATTGAATTTTGGTTAAGCAACAACACTAGTTAAAATCAATAAAATATCAACGTCATCTGTCGTCAGTTTCTACAACATTGATGTTGAAATCATACGCTATCCTGACATTGAATTTTGGTCATCTGACATCACAACCTAAATTCAACCAAATATCAACGTCTCAATGTTGGTAACCAGCTGGGTTAACTACTTCATATACCTTAAAAAAAACTCAACTCAAAGTCCCCTATGAGCTATTTTCCTGAGCTTTCAATAGCATCTATTTTTTTTTTTTATCGTTCTTTGTGGTCAAGAATGAACTTTCATACCAAACTCTACAAACAGTTTGGTGGTTAAGAGTCATAACGGTATGAAAAAATCTTAATCTGCAAAGTAACTACAGACTATAAATGTTAAATAAATTTAGCGCCGTAAAATGTGCGATGATTCCTTCGAAAAAGTAGAGGTGCGTAGAGCAGCAGAAAATGCAAATACTCCATTAAAGTTCCTCAAATTTATACTTCACTACAGTACTTGAGTAAATGTACTTCGTAAATTTTCACTAAGGAGTGTGTCAGAGTTTATGCAGATGTTGGTTGCGAGCTGTTTGTTTGTCTACCTGCTCGTCTGCTGAGGACCTCCACCACTGAAGGCGGGAAGAAGCCCACCCTGTCTGTCCCCCGCTGCGTGTCGTGGATGTGACCTTTCCAGCGGCCGTCTGAGTGCTGCTCCAGGACCTGACACCAACAAATTATGGCACGCTTCAGCTGAAATGTTTTTGGCACTGCAAACAGCATTAGCCTTGCAACAGTTCACAATCACATTAGACGAGACTATGGAACAAAAACAATCACGAAGAAATTATTCAATGATAAGAAGACTGAGAGCTTTGTTTAAAGCAAGAACAAAAAAAAAAACAAAAAAAAGGTGGCTGTATAGTGTGAAACTTTGAGGCGTTGGTTTCCAATCATTTTTTTCTTATCAACTATACATCAACTGTGTGCATGTCACATTTGTGACTCCTCCAGGCATGCTTTTAAAACCATAATGAGAGAGCCAATGAGCTGGAAGTACACAGTGAATTCATTGTGAGTGTTAACAAAACGCCTGGAGAGGACAAAAACAAACACCTCTGCCTCCTGACAGGAAACCTCACAACAACATGCAAGTTCATACACGAGTCTGGGATGTCATAATGACTCGTGTATCAAAATACAAAGCAGTGAGCACATAAACACGCAAATGTGCATAGACATGAATTAGTGCAAACACTGAGTGTGGGGAGGGGGAATGAGCAAACAAGTTGCTAATGAGAGAGTGACAGCAGCAAGTTTGTGCCTGTTTCTCTGCTGTGGTCTCTCGCTCAGGGTACACTAAATTACCCTGCAACATCCCACACAAATCCTAACAACAAGACTTCACTAAAGTCTTCATCATATAATCCTTACCCTGCCACTTAATAGACAGAGTGAAGTAGATGCCAGCAGCTAAACATAACTTTCAGCTGAATGTTTTTTTACAGTAATATAGTGCACCTGTATATTAACAATGAAACAGTAATTCCTGCATGGTTACAAACATTAACAAAACACAGCAAGCCTTCACTTGGCAAAGGTGCAGCAATGAGAAGATGTAATGTTAAATGAGATTTCTTAAGCTGAAACATTAAAGATAAACCAAACCAGCAACATTTTTGAAGTGTTTCTGGAGGGTTTTTGACACCCGTCAATCATGCATCTCTTATCTCAGAACTGATAAGCTTTTACTTTTTTATAAATGTATTAATCCACACCAGCTCCCAAAAATGTGTGTGTGTGAGAGAGACACCAATCAAAAAGCAACAACCCCATGATTTTACACTCCGTGGGCTACCTGGAGTGTAAAATCATGATGTTTAAACAATGCAGACTCAAAAAAAACAACAACAACAAAAAAACATGCATGCATTACTTCCCCCACATAAGCACCAGAGTAAAAAAAATTTCAACCAGTTTGATATTAAGTCAAGCACCAGACGGTTCCGGTATACGGAATTCAACCACTAGGTGTCGCACTTGACTCAGCAACACTGTCCCAAAAGCAAACGTGCATCCGACTATCACATCACATCATGTATCATCGGAGCTCTCTGTCCACATTGAAACATAAATATCAACTGTGTACCTGAGATCAAATTGGAGAAGTAATCCCTTAAAAGATGGATGAGGGCTTGTTCTCTTCCTACATTTGTACTTTTTAAACAAAAAACATGTTTTATATTGTGATTAGGGATGTCCCGATCCGATATTCGGATCGGTATCGGCTGCCAATATTAGCAAAAAAAGTGCATCGGCATCGGATCGGACTGCATGGAAAAATGCCGATCCGAGAACTCCAATCCAGTTTTTCATGGACTCCGATCCAGGTTTTCCGACCAGCCCAGCGCTCCGCGATTCAAGCAGTCCATTCCAGTGATCCGCTCCAGCTCTTACTATCAATCCACCAGGCCAACATGCAGATGGCAGACACACACACATGGAGGGTAGGAAGAGTAGCAGTCAATTTAGTTAAATGACTATTTGTTTTCTGCTCTGGTTTTTTGAGAGTGATATTTTTATTTGGTTTACACTCTTACTGTTTAAGTAAAGAGCACTGATGGCACAATTAGTGATAGTGGAGCCATGGATGGACTATTGCTTGTTTAAACAGTTGTACAACTGTTGTACACAACTATTGTGTGTGTTTTTTGTCCCCTCTGTTGGTCCCAGGAAACAGCAGCACCAGGCTTGCATTGACACTACTAAAATAACTGAAAAGGAAAGGCTGCATTGTTTGTTAAATGTCAACAATGTCTTGTGGTGTTAATCTATTTTTTATTTATTAGGGGGCCAAAGCACAAGTGTGTGGAGTCCTGCTGCTATTTTAATTTCAATATTAGACATTTTAAAGATTTCTTGTGCTGATTTATTTTCTATTCATTAAGGGCCCAAAGCAGCCAAAGCAAACCAGCTATATTTTTTATTTAATGTTAATGTTCAAGTTTAAAGTTTGTTTATTTAACCCTGTTAACAATAAACGGGTCAGTTTCTCATACCAACTGTTGTGGATCATTCTAACTAACCTGATTAAGTAGTTGTTCTTGTTAGAGTAATATCGCTTGATCAAACCTTTTCTAACATGACTGACAACAAAATAAGTGAATATGTATAATACGCGCTTGGATCGGATCGGTATCGGCCAAAACTCAAGGCTGTAATATCGATATCGGATCGGAAGTGGAAAAAGCTGGATTGGGACATCCCTAATTGTGATATTTACTGGAATGATGTACAATATAGCCAATAGCAAGTAGGTTGTTACTAGCGATGGTCATTTACCAGAAACTTTCAGCTCCCTGTCGGTCTCCCTCCTATCAGCCGCTACCTAATTTTGTTTTTTGTAGTGACGGTATCGTAAGGATAATTCCTTATTTTAACTTCATGAATCAGCCGTTGCTCATCCACAGAGTGCTGCAGAAATTACATTTGTAGACCAACATGAAAATTTGCGTCGCCTTGGTTCCTTCCTCAAAAACCCAATGGGATTTTTCCATTGCATTTTGGATTATTGCATAAAATAAGCTCTGTGGCGAACAAACATTTGTTATACTTAAGTGTTTTGTTCAGCAAGACAATCTTCACAAATTAACATCACTTTTTTGATTTTCAAAGCCTTAATGCAATCGCCAGAAGTAAAAAGCTAGCGTTAAGTGCTGTGACCGCTGGCACAGGTTAGTGTCGTAGGCCATTTCCCATAATGTGTCACAATAATAACAAATGTCATTTCAGTCGCATTGTGTAAAATCAAACCAATTTAAACTGGTACACTAGACCGGACCAGCAAAACTGGAAATCGGCCCAACTCAGCTCAATTACTTTTACATTTTATTTATTAATTTATTTCTTACATTAAAAGCATAATTGTATTTCAGCGCGTTTATATTTTAGCCTTTATCATTTTTAAAGTACATTTCAATATGAGCACTGAAAAAAAAATAAAATAAATATATATATATATATATGTATATGACAGCAAGACAGCAAGGCACAACAACTCAAGCAAAAACTGAGTGAACCTATGACTTACTGTAGTAGACAGACATTGAAGAAAAACTTTCTTACTCAACAATCAGACAAAAACAAGTACCATAATAAGATCTCCAGCGCGGAGGTTAAGAGCAGTGGGGTCGTGGAGGTTCCAGTAGTCCTTCACCGCTCTGACCTGGAGAGAGCTTGATGCCTCTGCACACAAAGAAAGATAAAAGACATATCATCAGGATGTTTCACTTCATTGATTTCTTTTCTGACCTCTCTCTTTGCCATTTTGCAACCTCTCCCCACTGTTTCCACTGCCTCTGTCTCAACCAAAAAAAAAAAAAAAATCCACATTTCATAAAATCATCAATGCTCTATGAAAAACAGTTTAAGAGCTACTAACCTCTCAGAAGCTGTTTGATTTCCCTGCTGGCTGTGGAGGTGGTGAACTGGTTGACAATGTCCAAAGCTGTCTGGTTGTACGTGTTGCGCATGTTCACATTGATGCCCGCCTAGAAACACACACACAACACACACACACTGTGGGATTACTGTGGGTGAGGTGCAGTTTCAAAACAAAGCCTCCCTCAAATGCCTCCCTGCTTTATTAAAGAATAACACTGGAATTAGTTTTTGACATTGTCTTTCTGTCTGCACCTTCAATACAAAAATGTCAGAGTCAGCCTTTAAAATCCCATACTACCTGAACTGAAATTATATTGTACGTCTTTGCTTACATCAAGCAGCAGTCGCACCACTTCAGTTTTGCCGTAGAGGGCAGCCTCATGCAGAGACGTCCCTGCTTTAGTGACTCTGTTGATGTCAATACCAGCTTTGAGGAGCAACCTGGGTAATCAAAGCAGAAAACACTCATGTAAGGCCGCAGGCAACACTCAGAAACAGATTCATCCATTCAACTGTTACAGACATCTGCAACATCTCATTAAGCCGTAAACCCCCCACTCATCCACACACCCACACACAAACACAAACACACACACACACACACACAAACACACAAGCTAACAAATATGTCTCTGGTTCTGTCAGAGGCCCAGATGTAGGAATGCTGATGGCGTTGTATCCAGAGAGCAATACAGGAGGAGGAGGTCCTCAGCTCGCTGTGTGAAGGTTCAGTCAGGATTTGGAGGTGTAAACAACACTGAAACACTGCTGTAATATATTAGCTGTATGGTGTTTTCTGATTGTTATCCCACTCCAACACTTCTTTGCCACCAATGTGTCCATTGGACGCTACACTTATGCATCTACTTTGTTACAGCATGTTTCCTTTCAACTTTCAAACAAGTTAGGATTTGACAAATTACAACAGAACTCTAATCATCATGATCAGAAACAGGCTAAACAACTACAACATGAAGCATTAGGACAGTGTGTGTGGGTGTGTGACTTCTGTAAATGACTAAGGTTGCTGAAAGGTGTCTCAAAGGCAGTTTTCATTATGGCGTAAGACTGTATGACAAAGTTCTAAAGCCACTGCTGGGAAACCAAAACTCCGATTGTGAGATAAAGTTGTATTAGTATGTGGGTGTGATAAAACATAATAAAACAAAGTTGGCAAAAGCATTCTTCATTTGACATGTAAAAGCTGACACATTAAATCAACATTGTGTAAGAATATGTATTTGCGATTTGGTGCGCCTGCATTTTCAAAGTGGTATACAACTGTTGTAAATACAGACCTTCAGTCCAATAAGGTCCAGCTTCAGGCTGTAGCAACTCCAATTCAGCCAGCGCAAACCCCAGTGTCCCGGTCTGATCCCAGACCGCCCCAACTCCCTGCCTAATCAGCAAACTTTCTGTTGCTGATGTTACACCCAGTGCTGCTGCTGGCCTTGGGGTTTGAGCTGGTGGATTTTGAGTTGCTACAGCCGCTAACTGAAGGTCTGTCTTCAGAGCCCAGTCTCCTCCTGGCAAAATAGACTCCTAGCAGCGGGGAGTGAGGAAGAGGGACCAGGGGTATGCACTAGCTAACTAATTCTGGTCTCATTTGAGGTCTGATAAACGGACAGAGAGATTGGGACAAGAGCTGAGAAAATCATTGCCCTGCATGCAGCTCTAAAATGACATAACATTCTACCCATTTTCAATAATAAAGACACAAAATAAAAAATCAATATCTGGCGGTCACTGTTGATTTTGTGGCAGGTCGGCAGAAATAAATCAATGTATGGAAAACACTGGACATCTGCAGGAGTGTACACTCTGCAGATGTCAGATTGTCATTATTTTCCCGTTAGCCGTGAGAGAGGTCACTACAGCTTATGTCAGGACAGTATAAACAAATAGCAACCCTACATTAGCTGGGCCAAATGACCAATCCTAAGTCCCATCCCCAAAAGTTAGTATTGCCAAGTCAGACAAGCTTGACAAAAAGAAACATGGCAGTGTTGGTTCCACTTAGCTGGGTGCTGCGGTGATTATTAGATAGTTTCTCGGCATCAGGCAATATAGCTTCAAGAAGCAGACAGCAAGCAATGAGAAGATACGCTCACAATGTTAACTGTTGTAAACAAGGCTAAAGGACGTAAATTAAGGCCTCCGGTCTCAAAGTAAAAGGAAGAAGTAGAGACAGAATGACAAGACTATCAGTCAACATTGCTCCTGCACTGCCAGGTATGTGTCCCCTTTTCCCCCTCTGGGGATCAGTATAGTACTCAATGTATTTATTACTGACTGCAGATCATGGTGCTGATCTAATGTTAGTCTCTCTTTACTGTAGAAAGTCATGTTAGTTACTTTGGGGTGGCACGTAGCTTACAGAGATAATATAAACAAAGAAATATTAGCCTTGATCTGGCTGACGATAATTCGCGTTGTCTTAAAAATATGTCAGCAACCAACCTACAGTATGTCCTTTTCCAAATCTCTCTAATGATACCACAGAAATGAGAAGGGGGCAAATCTGGCTGACATTGCTGATCTAGCATTAGGCTGATTCCTTTTGATGTAACACCACATTAGCTAGCATATCTGAGAATACAAGAAAAGTCCAAGGTTCTGCTGTGTTCCAAACTTTCTCAACTGTTTTTGGGACACAGAGCAAAAAGGGGCAGGACTTGGGAAGAGCTAATTCCAAAGTATAATTCGTGCACTGCTAACAGTGTGTGAGGTTTGGATTTTTACATCAACAGTTCTTTGTATTTGACATGATGGCGTTACTGAGAATGCCAATTTGGCTTGTTCTCATAGCTACCTGGAGTGTGGATTGTGAGTGAAAGAGGCACCATTCTTCCAAGCCAAAACATTTTTAAAGCTTTTATTTTTCAGGTAAAAAAAGCTGCAATATGTAACTTTTGAGTATTAAAAATGACATCTTTATGCTGAAAATATTACCATTTTCATCATGACTGTTAATATTTTTCCTGAGAATAAAGTTGTACTTTAGTATGAAAAAGGTCCTGATACTACAGCTCTCAAAACAAACATCTAATAAGATTATGTTATTCTCTTCTGTTTTAATTTTTTCTTATTGTTATGACTTAACTCTCATATTATACAACTTTAAATGTATTAAAATAATCTTGTAATGTATTATCAAATGTTGCATTTTTTGTTGTAAAACTGCAACTTCTTTTATAAAGAAGGCAGTATGACAAAACTTTGAAAGATGTCTTTCTCTTAACAGTGACCTTGATACTGTGTTAAAAGACTGAATGATTCCCAAGACTGCTACAGAAATATGTTTAAATTAGCAAAATGAAACAGCTACAAAGATGTGAAGTCAGCCTTTGGTTTGAGCTGACTGTGTCTTCAAAAAGCTTAATGGTGGCTTGTGAAATGTGAATGCTGCTGACAAACACTCTTGACTTAGCGGGATCACATTAAGTGGGACACCACAGGGGGGTGGACAGACACATGAATTATCAAGCCATGAAGTATGATGAAAAAAGGAGCCTGAAGCGAACCTGTTGTAGCTTGCACCTTCTTCTTTTACTCAGCAGCAACAGTTTTAATCTTGCTCTGAAACCTTGTGAAGGCTGAAAGTAAGTATGTCACAAGAACTAGACCTCTCCATCTCTGTCTTGCAGATAAGCAGAATGCGGTCTCCTCCAGTTTTGAGGGTGACATTTCATTTTGAATTATCCCAATCCTGTTTATCAAAGTACAATTTATACTTCTGTTATCTTCCCACATAACAAGAGTCTTTACATACATGTTACTAAATCCACAACAAAATCTTCACATCTTCCCCGGGGAAAAAAATCTATGGGCAAATGTTTGCAGCTCCAGTTCCAACCAGACTTCTACAGCTATACAAAAAGTAGGTACTGTAAGACGTCTGCTGTTGCAGTATGGCAGTCTTTGAAGAGACATAAATCCCTTAGCGGGAGATCACAGCCAAATTCTGCTGAGTAAACTCTGAATAAACTTGCGTGCTAATGCAGTGATTTATTTTTTTATTTCTGTTTTTTGTTGAAAGCTTGCCATTTCTTCTCCACATCTACTATTGAACTTCCCAGTTCAGGACTAGGAGAGAGGAGGATGGAGAGGGTATTGCAAAAGAGATCTGATAATCGTTAGCAGCATGTCTGAGAGGCAGGGTGGAGTTACTTGGCTAAGTACATGCATATTTACACAGATACACTGGCATAAAAAACACACTGAACCACTCTTGGGTATCTGGAAAGTGTAATGTTTCTGGGATTAAACATCTCTACAGTACAGAGTGTGTTCTGTTTGAATGTGGAGATTGTTATCAGTTTTTCTTTCTGGAGCTACCTGAGGGGAGATGTAGCACCTGTAGCTGTGAATTAAGGGCTGGCAAAAATATGGTATTCTGTGAAGTATCAGTGTAGTGCAGCACTAATGATAATAGCTAAAGTAGTAATTGTACCAGTAGCAGCACAAGCTGTACTGCTGGGAGGTGGCAGCAATAGTAATGATAGAACTAACTGCCCTAGTATTGGTGATTGTGATAGTCTTGGTAAAAATGGTTGTATTAGTGGAACTAGTGGTTGTAGCTGTGACAGGTGTTGTTATTTTAGTTGCAATAGTACTAGAGTACCTAATCAAATAAATGTTGGCATTGTACTTTTCTGCAAACCACAGATATATTACATGTTTACGTTTCATATGTAGCAAATATGTTGAAACCTTATGTTTCTTTACGGTTCAGTTTCAAATTCCACAACAACCATGTGGTTAGGGTTGTGACAACATCATGTTTTAGCTTCAAATTTTTGTCACAAAAAACACAGCTGAACATGTACTGAATTCCATTAACAAAAACTGCTTTTGTAGCTACAAAAGCAGCTAGAAATGTCCTGAACACTTATTAAAAAATACCCGGTTTGGTTGCTACACAAAGGGCTAATAATGTCCCAAACTCTCATTTTAAAATACCCACTTTTGACACTACAAACACAGCCACACATGTCCACGTGCTCGTTAAATATACTCCCTTCTGTCAATACTAACATGGCTGGAAATTTGCCAAACTCTCAATTACAAATACCCACTTAAATTGCTACAAACATGACTGAAAATGTTCAGAACTCTAGTTAAAAAAATACCTGCTTCTGTCAGTACAAACGCAGGTGGATATGTCCCAAACATGGTTTGAATTGTCCCAAATTCTTGATAGAAATACCTGCTTTTGCTGCTACAAACATTGCTGGAAATGTCCCAAACTCATATACATCATAAAATCATATACATGTAATCTGAACAAGGTCACATTAGAAATGTTAAGATTATGCCTATGAAAAGTACAACATATCTGCTTGCACGGACACATACAATGCCAAGATTTTATTCTGGCAACTGGGTTGCTAGAGGTTGTAGCAATGCTAGTGCTGCAGTTGTAGTAGTAGCACTGACAGCCCTAGCATTTGAGATAATGGTAGCAGTAAACATAGTTGCAGCAGTACTGGTAGTGAAGCAGTAATAGTAGTAGTGGTAGCAGCAGGAACTGTAGAAATAATAGCCATAGCACTGCTCCCAATAATAGCAATACTGTTAACAACTGTTACAGTGTTGGAAGTAGCATTATTAGCAGTAGAGGTTGTATAAGCAGTAATACTAGTACTAGTGGTAGCAGAAGTTATGGTAGTAGCAGTAACCATAGCAGTAATGGTGGAAGTATTCATAGAAGATGTAGGAGCAGATACAACGGAAGCGTTAGTAGTAGCAGTAGAGGTATTTGTAATTCTTGTAGTAGCAGCAGTGGTAGCAGTGGTGGCAGCAGCATTAGTGCTAGCAGAGTTAGTAGCAGAAGCATTAGGAAAGAATGATGAGGGCAGAAATAGACATGTATCAAACATAGCTCCTCACTGTGATCTTACTTGATTATGTCTTTGTGTCCATTCCTGGCTGCCAGGTGGAGGGGAGTGGTGGATGGAGATTCCAGGCTGTCGTGCACCCCCTCCCCTTCTAACAGGGCTGTCACCATGTTACTGCTCAGCAGCAACTGAGCCACCTAAGGAGAAATCAAAGACACCAAAATGAAGATCAAGTGTCACTAGTGAGAACAGAGGAGTGGCAGAATCAGGGCAAGAATTACAGCATTAGCAATACTTAGATATATATGCAAAGCCATGGTAGTTGAGGTTATGTAGTAAAAATATATGGATTAAAATAATATATATGGTGACTTATATATAGGGTCAGGCCAGTACAGAGGCTTATCCACTACTCAGCAGCTGTCTAAAGATACCACAGCCTCCATACACACACAGACACAGACACAGACACAGACACAGACACAGACACACACACACACACACACACACACACTCAAGAAGTCTATGTGTCAGAAAAACAGCCTAAAGCCTTGCATTCTTTCACAGCTAAACTGCAAACTCAGACTAGACGAGGGACATTTAACAGGCATAGGAAGTGTGTGTGTCTAATTCTGAATTACAGGCCAGCTATACATCACACAGCTAGGCTTATCCGCCGATGTGACAGAGAAACAGTAAAACACACTGCGATGTGCAATCCCTTTAACGTTACAGTTTGCATGCGCCCTTAAAGAGCCACTGAAGCCTATTTTCCTTTCGCTCAAACAAGCTTAATTTAGCTCGGTCACTTCATCTAAGCCATGGTTCATGTTTGACATAGGCCATCCCATCCAAAAAAGGGCAAAAAGGGCCAAATAGAGTGTTATCACATGCAAATAATTGGATTAGAATGACTACATGAATAAAGCAGTTCACTACATGGAGATTTATTCTCTCAGTCTCACAGTGTAGAGATCGGCTAAAGAGTGGAATTCACCAAATGGCATTACATGATCCTCCAACAGCACCAGAGGAGTGATCCTTACACAGGTCATTTTAGCTTATTACAGACAAAAGTACAAAAAAACTCCTCTAGAATCTGTGTCCTACTGTTCATTTAGAGCTGATTCCGGTGGAGCAGCATGTGTGCCGGCTGAGCACTGTTAATCAGTACGAATGAATTGTAAATCCTTAATTACAAACCAGTATGCCATCTCTTTTCCATGGATCTGAGACCCCGCATCTCTGTTCTCAATATCCCTCATCATCAGAACTCTGTTCTGTGCTCCATAAAAGTAGTCAGTGTTAAGGATGTGATTTAGATTGTGATGTCCAAGATAAGATAATGTTAAACGGACCATGATGCTACTGTTGCACCAAGCAAAGACACACAGACTTTTAAAAAGGAGCCACTGTTTGAACAGAGGAGACATTGCTATTTAACTGATTTTTTTAATGTTTAACTGGTACCTTCTTCCTGCCCTCAACAGAGAGAAAAGGCAGATATCTGGGTGGTTGGTATGTTTAATGATTCCCCTGGACTTGTTTTTGTAGCGCCTGGTGTAAACATCTAGTGCTATTAGAGCTGGGTTGACCGGTGAAAGAGCAGTGTGCATTAGCGTTAAAGCAAACAAGGGAGAGATTTAGTCACACATGTCTGAGCATAATTCACACTCAGATGAGGAGTTTGTTGTGCACCAAAATTGGTGACTAGCAGACGTATCAGAATGCTAAGTGTAGTTAGCCTCTTTTATTTCTTTATTTTGTTTGTCAGCTTGGTAGCATATCGGTTAACTGGCAGGGGCTCACACAGCGTTAGTGGTTGTGAAACATGCAATAATATATACTACAATGGGGTTTTCCATAGATAGTGGAAGGAGGCTCCAGTTTCCGGTTTATATCCAAAAACTGCATCCTCTACCATGTTTACTTTCATATTAGTGATGTACCTAATCTAGCTTGCCGGCAAATGTTTGAATCTCAGATTTTAGGAAAGTGCACAGACATTTCTAGAGGTGTGTGAAAACACCTCTCTAGTGAAAAACTTTGCACAGATACAAGTCAGTATAGTCAAGGTCAGACATTTAAACGGACATAAACAGAAGGAAAATCCATTTAAATGAAGGGGAACAAGTGATGTCAACAGTTAACTGTTTTTAGTTAACAGCAGAGAATAATTTTGACCAGTTACACACGTCGGCCTACAAGATAATTTTGTCTCTCTTCAGTTAACTGCACTGCGCACCACACTGGTCTGGTGGGAGCTAGCAAGCAGCGCCATTCATTCCGCAATTAATACTGGAAACGCTGTCAACAGTGCTGTATGTGGTCACCGAGGTGAGTTAGCAGCTCGATTCTGAGCTGCAAACCCTGTTTAACATTGTTAACTATGTTATAACTGTTAACTCTGTCGCACCGTCAGCACAGTTAGTGGTGCTAACATAGTTTACAATGCTAAACTATGGCCCCTTGTATTTCATGTCATTTTGCATTGTTTTTCTAAAATTAACCACTTTGTTATCAATTAATGGGTGTTGGGCTGTTGACCTGGCAAATGGATTGCCCATCGATGATCTGAGGTAACCATGATTAGACGATATGACAATAGGAAAAATCGCCCAACCAAAGCAAATATATAATGCGGCTGATGATACTCAATACTCAAAAACTTATGTTCAATAAAACGCCATTATTCATAGATACTTTGGTTACACACACACATACACAAATATGACACAGTAATATATTCTCATACCTTCAGTCTGCCAAACTCGCAGGCCAGATCTAAAGGAGTCTTCTTTGCCTTGTTCGTCAGGCAGGGATTAGACTGGTGCTGCAGCAACATCTCAGACTGAAAGAGAAAGGGAGAAAAGACAACGTAAGTGATATCTCCTCATGTATTATGCACACGCACTCATATGCCAGTCAACCCGACACATTCTGTGTGTGTGTGTGTTGATGTTTTGTCTTTGAACAGAAGAGAGGAACATATGATAGCTCTACTGCCGCCTCAGTTAAGGATTGTCAGTATCGTGTTTGATGGTGTTGTACTAAAAAGGTCAGGCCTCCATACGGGTTATATGACAGGTTGAGGTGCGTGTGTGCGTCTCCATGATATGTGAATCTCTCCATTAAGACAATCCAGGAGCCAAACCGATGAGTCTGGAGGAAAGGAATGTGTGCGCTCACTGCCTTTAGACTCTTGTGGAAAACCTGTGTCATGGCATTAATGGTGTTACTGGTATTGTTGGTGGACAATATAGGCTGAGACACAAAGGGGGTAGGTTTCAGTGAAATGGGAAGACTGGTATTGCCTTTGAGCTTTGCCTCTGGCAGCTGAGGTGTATGTGTGTACTCACCACCTCGTAGTGTCCATACTGAGCAGAAAGATGTAACGGCGTCTGTCCATCATGGGAAGCGGAGTTGACTGAAGCTCCGGCTCTCAGCAACAATAAGACCGAGTCTGCTTTTCCCTGCCATGCTGCGTAGTGGAGAGGACGCATGCCTAGAGACAGAAACATGAGTGCAGGATGGAGCCCATGAGATGGGAAGGAAAAGGCAGTGAGATGTGCATTAAAGAAACACTACTGAATATACACGTCAAAGTCAATTTACTCGTCATGGGGAGTAATGAGCCTGCGAGAGAGCTGTATAATGTCTTCTGTGGCTCCGGAGAAGCTGTGAATATATCCCTAATGATATCATAGTAATGTCATCAGGGATTTTCAACAGAAAGCCTGTGAGGATTAACCAAGCAGGAAGGGTCTAACAAAAGAAATTATAAAGTTGCGTTGAGGGAAGTGTAGGACCGACAAGTTTTTTGGAGCTATATTAGGGAATATCCTGGCCTGTCAAGCAATAAATTTCACTATTCTTTTGTAAGTCAATACTTAAACACTGGAGTGCCCCATTTAAGCGTAAGACTGGTGTTCTATATTTTTTTTAGCCTCTAAAAATCTCAACAAAAATACCAAAACCAACTATTTTTCTGACTTCACTGATTTGAAAGTGTAGTCCAATATTCACTCTGCCATGTTTTGGGTCATTTAACCAAAACAATGAGCTGAAAGACTCTAAAACAATCTGCAGAGCCGAGGGAAACTGGTGACACCTTCCACATTAACACATTGTCATCCATCATTGAACTGACTGATTAGTGCAGCCTCAGTGGGCTTTAGTCGTATGTGGGTTTGCATTGCAACAGTGTGGTTCATGGGTGTTTATTAATAGTTTTTGGAAGACAATGGGCCTCACTCCCCAAATGATCTTACGAGGACATTTCTTCTAAAACCCCTTACAGGGTGATGAGCAATGATACACTGGAATACACCATGGTCCCAACATTGATATGCATCAGTGCTTCAGGAAAGCAGTAATGTTATAACATTCGCTGCCTAAATCGCTGCACCCTGACTGACGTACCTTGACTAGTTCTTCTGTCTGTATAACGGTCCAGAGTGTGCTACGGGCGCCAAATGGCGTGAGGCTAGGTGATGCTGTGGTGTGTGTTCCACTTAGCATGCATGAGACCCTGGATTCCAAAACTGACAAGCTGGCAGGAAGTGCCAAGAGGTAAATTCAACCTTCACAACAGTCCTTCACAGATCTATAGCTGACCTCAGAGGCGTCACACACGGTTATGAGCACCACACGCCTGTGGTCTCAGCAGCCGAGCTGCCACTCCTGCACGGATTCTACTATATTTGTTCCGCTCAGAGTCTGAAGATATTTGCTGTAGCACTGCTGTCACTGTGTGGCAGACAAACTTCAAAGCGAATCATATTTATTCATGTGGGTCAAACTTATTTTCAGCTGAGTGTCAGAAAGCTGTTGAGGAAGTTTCAGGCTCAATTTAACCCCAACTGACTTCCTGAACATTTTTTTTCCCTAAAGTGTAGGTTTGTCTGGTGACATTGGTTTGGCTGGTTAAGGTACCGTTGATGTCCTTGATATCCACCGTGGCCTGGGCCTCCAGCAGCAGAGACAGCAGCTCTGTGGTGCCCGTGAGTGCGGCATGGTGCAGTGCTGAGAAGCTGTGGGTGAGAGACAAAAGAGAGGGTAAGAGGGGGTCAAGGGAGAGCAAGAGGGGGGAGAGACAAAGAGATGAGACAGGTTATAAATCATTCTGATGACTTTACAGCAGGTGAGCCCTTTTCAAAACTCTCATCAAAACTTCAGACTGAGATAATGTGTGTGTGTGTGTGTGTGTGTGTATGCTCTCATCAAAACTTCAGACTGAAAAGTGTGAAGGTGAGTGTGTGTGTATGTACAATCCCATTACAAACTGCAGCCTCAGAGAAGAATGTGTGTGTTTTATGGTTGTGCATCCCCATACACCCATAAAGACTTCAGACTGAGAAGATGAGAAGACAAGTGTGTGCGTGCGTGTGTGTGTGTGTGTGTGTGCGTGCGTGCGTGCGTGTGTGTGTGTGCAGTATACATATTTACAGCTATGGTCTAAGATAAGAAGCAATGCATGCTCATACAGTATATGTATGTGTGCTCCCACATCAAAACTGCAGATTGAGATAAGGATCTCCAGTGAGTGTGTGTGTGTGTGTGTGTGTGTGTGTGTGTGTGTGTGTGTGTGTGTGTGCGTGCACGCGCATGAATTTGTTTTGCTTGAGTTCGTCAAAGCTTTACAGATGAAATGTGTGCGTTTGTCTCTGGATGAAATTAAAGGCATAAATTCTTGGCGACGACTTTTGCGTTTGCTTGAGGCGACGCAGACACAGCGAGTGTCCCAGAGGAGGTGACCCTCCGAGGCGACGAGCGAGCAGAGCCCAAGCTGCAGCACAATAACAGCTACAGTGCAGAGGGCTTTCAGGTGATCTCACACAGCCTCAGGCTGTCATAGTGGAAGCCCTGAGCTCTGGGGCACCAGTGGCAGTAAACAGCCTAGATACATTTGGAAAGAGAACTTATTGTAGCTTTCTCAGCAGATGTCAATAGACACTGTGAAGTTTTCATGGTAAACAAATGCATTTTGTTCACCACTTTTTTTTTTACCAGAGCAAACCAAGGCCTAACAAAGAGGCAGGTTTGATTCAAAGGATCAAAACTTGTCAATGACATGCCTACTGATGCCTACAATCATCTCACTGGAAACAACAATGTATCATTTCTACAAAAGTACAGTATTTACAAAGTGACAATAACAATAAGCACAAAGCAATATGTTAACAGATCAGTGCTTTCTTCTTACTTTTAAGTTAGTTAGACAGTTAGTTAGACATAAAAGTATGATCATCATAGGGACGAACACTGATGTTATTGTCAATCTATTTTCTCCCACACAGGAGCACTAAATCTTGAATTAAGTTAAAAAATGCTGGTTTATTTAAAGAAAGTTCAAATGTTTGCGAAAAATACAGTATATTATTATAAGATACTTATTCTTCCAGATTACACTCATATCTGCGCGTGAAGTATGAAGCTTGAGCCAGAAGGTGTACAGAGGTGTCTACACTTACATCACGCTTTGATCAGATGTGTGGCCTTAATGGAGACACTGGGATGTAAACAATAGAATTGATTGTAAGCTGAAAGTTTAATGTAAGCAGATTTTAAGATGTCTAAAACACAGCAAAGTTCAGAAAAACACGTGAAAGTTGCTAAAACTTAGAGAATGACTAAGCAAGAAAGGGGGTGATATTTTGAGAACTAAGGATTACAGGTGGTGAAGATCCGTATGAGCTAGCTCTTTTATTGTGGAATGATGACAATCATCCAACAATTCTGCTTAGTTTTTCCTATCCCAACATTGTGAACTACCTAATATTTACAATAATATATATTTTAATAAAACATACTTTTGAAGCTACATTTTGGGGAAAACTGTACAGTTCTGTGTCACTGCAAAAGACTATGAAACGAGTTCAGAATCTGATATTCAGCGAAGAAAGCAAGAAACCACAGCTTTAAATTGTTATGCTTGCATAGTATTACATTAAAAAAATAGTGAAGAGTTGCTGTTATCAATATTTTACCTATCTGACAAGGAATGCACAGAGCAAACTTGAAAGTTTTCAAGATTCCTGCCCTGTAAATTAGCACTGGGCAATATGTTGATTTCAGGATATCATACAAGATATTGACTTGGATTTTTGATATTATAATATCATAAGTGTTGTCTTTGTCTGGTTTTAAAGGCTGCGTTACAATAAAGTGATGTCATTTTTTAGCTGTTCTTTTATTTGCCTTTACCCAGTCAATCATTATATCCACATTACTGATGATTATTCATCAAAAACTCATTGTGTAAATATTCTGCGAAAGCACCTATAGTCAACCCTACAATATCAGTGCGATGTCATTATATCAAGGTATTTGGTCAAAACTATTGTGATATTTAATTTTTCTCGTTATCGACCAACCCCACTGGGAATCCAATTTCAGTTTGGCCAACCACAAATGCCTCCTTTTCTCAGACAAGTTTGTACCTTGTTCCTGATTTGAAAAAATGGAAATAATTCAGTGTCTCCACAATGGCCGACTTCTTTGTTGATTACGTACTATGAAACCAAACTATTGGTCTGGCTTAGCAGAAAGACTGGAAGAAGGGGGGAACAGCTAGCCTGACTCTGAAGTTTAGAACAAGACCTAGCAGCATCTCTTAAGACCCAGATACACCAAACTGACTTTAGAGAACTAGTGGCGACAAAGGCCCCTGCTGAGTTGCCTAGCGTCACCATGTTTTGGCCAAATAGTATCACATGAACACACCGCAAAGACTACAACTAAAGGCCAACTAGCATATATATTCTGCATGTGCATGAGAGGAAATAACTCTCCACACCAGCAGATGGCAGTAGTCTGTAATCGTCATTCAAAAAGGGAAACCGGAAGTCTTGATGCTAGTTAGCCAGTTAGCACATTAACACACACACACAGGAAACATTTCTGCTTAAGAGCTCAATGTCTAAAGAAAAATAATTTTACCTTATGCAACAAGTTTGTTTGGTCTCACTCCCTCTTGACATTAGCTGTTTACTTTCTTCACTCAGAGTGATTTCATTCACCGATGGGTTTTACCGTCACTGTCACTGATACATTATGCTAAAAGAATAAAAGCTAACAAGGGCCGTCGAGGGGCAACAGTGCAGGACAAACCGACAGATGTTCACCAGTGGCCCAAGATTGACTGACAGCCAACCATCTGCTTGGTGTGTCAGGGCCTTAAAGCTCACTAACATGTTGTATCTTATAACTTCAATCCATACAACAAAAGTGTAAAAAAAAATGTGGTTTTAGGTAAACTATTTCATAATGAAACCACAGTCACCATGCTCATGTGCTCAGCTGTCCGTCCAGAAATGGCTCCAGCATGGAACTCTGTTTGTGTATGGATTAAATAAACAAGAAACGGCATATTAATTAATGAGTTTTAGAAACGTTTCAGATTTTATCACTTTGGACAGAGCCAGGCCAGCTTTATTTCCCTATTCCCAGTCTTTATTCTAAGCTAGGCTGACCACATCTGCCGGTTAGTTAATGCACTTTGTGATACTCTGTGAGACTAGACAAGCTAGACATTATGACGTTGAGACGTAAGTCTGTGCTGATATGAAATCTGAAGGATCTCCAGACTCTGAAGTGGCTTATCTTATCAGTGTCATTGTTTAGGCCTTAGCCACACACACACATATACACACAAACATGTACACTGTCTCAGTGTCTCTCTGAGTTGGTGTTGACTCAGTGACAAGCGAATGTTTGCAAACCTTCCCCTCGCCTCTTCATTCTCTCTGCACTGATCTCATATATCACAGGTAACCCCTTCCCACACAAACACACACTCCCTCATGGATGGACATGTTTAATTTCAACACCCCTATTGTGTATCACATCCCACGCACTGCACTGACCCTGCATGCAGTCACATGTAGCAGGCCTAAGTCAACACACACATTGCGTGTACAACAACACATAAACAGACACTGCAGCTTGCAGAGGGGCATTCTTTGTATGTCTGATGGCCTACTTTGATATAAATTGGATGGATGGGAACAAAGACTAAACACCTCAAATGAAGTGTGTTTCTTTCAAACAAAAAGAAACATATCTCAGTCCCGGGAGGGATCAAGTTGAAAATAGCCACAAATATAAAGGAAAAAAGCAAAAGTACTACTACAAAATGTTTGAGAAATAACAACAAGTATGAACTTTCTGAGGAATTTGTGGGTGTGAATTGCTCAATAGCTGACGCTACACTGCAATGCTCGCTTTGAGTGTTGAACAATATTGATGTATGAATGCTGTGGAATATTCTAAGGTTATTTGAAAAGCTGACACTACACTGCAATGCTGGCTTTAATTTGTAAGAAGAAGGTGAATTAGTAGACATAGATGGAAAGCTAAGAATGAGCTTAATTAGTATGAATATTATTGAAAAGTTGAATGATACCAATACTGTTGAATATTTCAAGGCTCTTGAAAAGCTGACGCTACACTGCAATGCTGCCTTAAACATTGGAAGGTGGAAAAGTGTGAATAGGTTTAATTAGTATGAATATAAGTGAAACGATGAATAATATCCATGGAATATAGACAGTTAGCTTTATAGAGATTGAGCTGAGGTGTGTGTGTGTGTGTGTGTGTGTGTGTGTGTGTGTGTGTGTGTGTGTGTGCGTGTGTCCAGTTGCACTCATGAGCTCAGGTTGCCATGTAATGTTGACTACTCAGGCAGCTAGTCTTACAGAGATTTAGCTGAAACCAATCTCTCAAACTTCTGGCCCTTTCTTAAAAAAACAATAACTCTGATCTTTATAATCTATATACCCTGAGAGAGAGGACAACCTGAGGAACAAGTAGTGTGAAATTTGGGCCTGTAGCGTCAAAAATGTGAGCATGGTCGCAGGTTAGAAAACTGGTATGATCCCAGAGATTTCTGGTGTCTCTTAACATGGAGTTCAATGTGTCAGTTGGTGGACTTTCTCTGACTTTCAGGCTCAATGTGCCAAATGTGTAAGTCTGATTGCTTCCAAAGTAACACTGATGGAAAGAGGACAAGTTTTACTCCATTTTGACCAAAAATTGTGTATGTAGAGTGAAAATTGCGGCCGTGGCAGCGCATTAAAGAGACATGTTTCAGAAGCTCTCTGCACTCTGTCAGTTGAGTCCTCCACTCTAGCTCTGAAACATTCTGCCTATAGAGACCCTTTAATAATGAAACCTGGGGAGGGCATTTTTGCCATGCTCCGAACAAGTCTGAATATTTCAAAAAGTTTGAATGGGATTTGAAAGTTGAATGGATGTCAGAATATACGAAAGCTGATGAACACTGATAAACACCATGGGAACGTACATGCATTCAGCTGGTGATGCAGAAAATCTGAGTAAGAATACTGTTTTATTTTATTAGGTTGTTGTTGCTCTCACTGAACAACTAAATATGTTCATAGTAGAGGTCAACCGATATTGGATATTGGAACAGTTTGGAACAGGAATTGTGATCAGATGGGCAGTATTTCTGTGACTTTTTAAATTACTTTTTAATTGATAAAAAAAATCAAATGTAATTTGAAACAAGATATTTTGGTCATGATTAAGCCAAAGACTTAATGTAAAAACATGTCAAAATGAAGGACAATACACACAACAAGACACAGTTACACAGCAGAATGGACCTGCTTCCTCTGGAGCTGTACCTACTGATCATTTAACACAACCCTCCCCTCTTCAGCCCCAGTCAGGGATGTAAGTCCCTGCATTACTGGTGGAGGCTACAATGTCGGTTTGAATTTGATTAATCGTTCAGACCTAGTTGTTATTTCAGCCATCAAAATCATGGGTCACCCGCTAGAAATTAGAATCCTGCTTTTGTCCAACTCTGTCTGAGATCAATGAACCATTGTTTCAAACCAGCAAGACACAAACTGCCAATGTCGCAATTCAAATTCAGCGCCTTCAAGCCATTTCACACCAAGCACCAATTTTTGTTTGAAAAAAGTTGCATGAAAATTTATAAAAACCTTTGGAAGGACTCAATTTAAGTGGATTTCCACCTGCAGCAATATATGTTTGACCAATAAAATCTTTTGTTCCAAATGATGTCATACTTCCAGGTCATAGCTAGCTTGCTGCCAAAAATGAGGGAACGTCTTGTCAGTTTGATTTGTCAACACCCGATACCTTATGACAAAAACATTGACGACTACCTCAACAACCAAATAAAGGAAAATGTATGCGTACAAGATAGCCAAGCAGCTGGGATACAATAAAGATGATAATGTAGCTGATACGTACTTGGCTGCACAGCCATCTGCCAGCCAAGTCCTTCTGCTCATGATAGTTCGTAAAAAGCCCTATCAGCACCGATTAATCAAACAAACCGTCAAATTGATCGACCTCCAGTGTTCTCTGGCCATTTTCTCACACAGGCTCTAAAAGAAGCCTTATATAAAAACATAGGTGACATACATTAATAGTTCACTACATTATTAATCAATATTTACTTCTGTATGATTTACAGTATAATACCTTCACACTAAACCAAAACATTACCACTTTGGATTATGTTTTTCTGCTTAGTCCTGATTTGCTGATGTCTGCTTTACACTGCTGGTATATTACAGCTAATATAACACTGACTAGAGAATTGGTAAGTCTATTGGTAATCAACACTTAAAATATTCAATCAATATATTTCACTTCACATTATTTGGCCCAAAACTTCAGTTATTTGCACATATCACTTATTATTAGACAGTCTCAGTATGCGTAAATGCAGTTCTTGAGTATAACGTTAAAATCTGCTGCATCAAGTTTAAATTTTAAGAGCTGCAGAAACTGCAGCTGTCATAAAGAAATAAACAGCAGGCATTAGAAGTGCACTAAGTATGACGAGTAGATGTAAGAAAATTTAATGATAAAAATGGAGGTGGTGAAAGTGGAAGCAAAATGAAAAACAAAGTGATAAATTAGGAAGTGTTTGGATTCATTTAAAGTTGATTTAATTAAAGCAGCCATGGTATGATGAAAACAGAGCCATGTTTCATCATTTCCCCTGTCTTACATTCATCAATCATCATTCACAAGACAAAACTGCCATTTCTCATTTAAGGAAAGTGGCCTCAAGGGTTGGATTAACAAAAAATAATTGAAAGAAATGGAAGTGATGAAAATGATTATGAATTACAAAAAGGAAGTGATGAAATGTATCGGAACTGAAAAACAGAGCGATGAACTGTCATCTGATGTGATTAACTTGACGTTTTATTTGAAACAGTGTTGCTCTGATAACCAGCTGGGCTGTGTTACTGTCTACCACTCATCATTCACAACACTCAACTGACATTTATCATTTACAGCAAGCATTTTTTCTTACTTCTGCCCAAAATGTTAAACAAAAAAACCCATCCAGTGATGGAGTTTTTGGCTCTTAAAGGGAATCTTTGCTGTGTATTGTAACAAATCCCACTAACTATTATATATATAGTATATATATTATAATGTGTTCAAGCTCTATTCAGTGAAAATTGGTATTGGGCAAAGGTAAATTACAACAGTCTCATAAGTTGTTCAAATTGAGAAATTCGTTGATGTCTTCACAGCAATAAATAAAGATATTAAAGAGGGATTTTTGGTATATTATATACAGTTAATACACTTCTGAAGCAGTTAAAAAGGTTTTCATGTGAAGGCTCTTTCATAAATGTATATGGTTGAATTTGTGCTCATTCAAAGGTGGTGCAATGGAGACTGGATGATTTTATAACAGTTCAGTTTGTTTGATGACAATGACGATTTCTTTGTTTCCCTGTCACAAAAGGGGGAATGAATAACAAGGAAAACAAAATAAACAACAACAAAAAACATTGGTAATGGCTGTCGGCCAGATTGTTATCTTAAACATCAGGATCCGCCCAGAATTTCACAATCGGTGCATTCCTATTTGTCTGGACAGGTGTTTGCTGTGCAGAATGGACACGTATGTATTCATTTATTTATTGACAAAACTAGAACATGGCAATGCATATCATTTGCACAGGACCCAACATGCATTGTTGTCATGGAAATTTTGCATGTGGATTTTTCTGTATGCCTGCACCGCTTTTTCACATCGAACTGGTGAGTAACAGCTTTGAGCCCCTGAGCAACTGAGTCATGTGAGAACCTTAACTACAACATATTTTCAAAAAGTTACCATGCACCTCTGGAAGCAGTTACAGTGAAAATAACTGAACGCTTAACACAAAATAAAGTCCTTTACTCAAACAGATTTAGCAGATGAGTTGCCATATATTAAATGCACATTCTTGTCTCTCACTAAATTTCTGTGTGTCTAAGAGTGAGGTAATAACTCTGAAGGGCACTATATGTCAGAACATGTGTGGGATGTAGTTATGAGTCACACGTTGAAAACTGGAGATAAACAGGAGGCAGCCACAGGTAAGGCATTTAAATCTGCATGTCAATCAAACCACAGTGACTCCTCCATTGCATTCTTTTGACTCATGCTTATCTCACAGGCTTACACACACCAGCACGTACACACACTCCTCTTACCCGTCTGAGTCTTGGTAGTTGATGTTGAGTCTCTTGGTGGAGCCCAGCAACTCTGGAAAAAGACAGAGAGGGAGAGAATGGAAAAAAGACCATTAGTATCTGGTGGCATATTTGTCTTCTCATCACAGCTCTCCAGAAATCCCTCCATCCCTGCCGGACCCCGTGTGTGTTTTCACAGTAAAGTTTTTTTCCCCCTGCATGTCTCCCCGTCATCACTTCTTCCATCAAACAACCTGACAGCCCCGACAGGATGGGGAGCTTTCCTCACCTCCTGCTGCCTCACCCTTCCCTCTCTCAGCTCATCTGACACCCTCACTGGCAGCCAAATGATTCATAAACAAATGATTCTGCCTCGCAGAAATGTACCATTCCACCTCATTTACACTGCTATCTTATCACAGCTCTTTGGAATTGAGAGTGACAACCGTAAAACACAAGCATGCCAGGATAAAACATACATACAGTCATTTTTCCAAAGCAGCACTTGGTGCAAAAATAGCATAAGTCAGTTAGCAAGACTGAACAGGTTTTTCTTTTCACTCACCTTGGAACAGACAGACTGCTACTTGTCCCATGTCTTACTCATTCACTCTGTACTCCAACAGGTAACATACTGTAGTCTATCATATCGTCCCTTTCTTTAGTCCTGCTGCCACATGTGTTGTCACGATAATTTCTATTCATTTACTTTCAGACTGATCACAATGTCTCATATTAAATATCAGTTGCTTAAACTAGTTGTCTAACTGGTTCCAGCAGTTACACAATGGAAAAAAATCCTTAGGAACCCCAAGAGACAGCTAAAAAGCAGTCCAATGGTTGCAATGGAAGCACATCTATTGCTTAAGTTTAAACTTCTATTGTGACAACAATAACTTCTTCTACAAGCATAATCCTCTTTTCTCATCATCTGACCCCAATCACATCTGGCCATCAGCCCGATGCTCTACTAACCCCTTAAAGCCTCATTCTAAATGGTATCAAACTACCAGACTTCAAAGTATCAGACATACATCTATCTTCAGCCTCTACTGAGGGCTGGAAATGCTCCTCCACAGCTAAATATCCTCAGACATCCTACAGCAGAGATCTACTGTAAAGCCCCACTGTTCACCAAGACCCACACAAGAGCCTGACTGCCAAGGCCTCTGAATACAGAGCCATTCATCGCACTCAATCTCCCTTACTGTTTTCTCCCACTTAGGTGTGGAAAATCACATAAGTGTGTCTGTGTATGTGTGTGTCTGTGTGTGTAGGACAGAGAGACAGGAAAAGAAAGAAAAGTGGAGCTGGCGAGAGGTTGAGGTTTTAGATTAACGACTAGTCAATTAATCCATCTGATTTAAAGAACCATCTTGCGTTAATTAGGGTTGTAGAGATACATCAGTTTGGATCGAAAGACTGATTCAACTATCAATGATCAAATATTATCTATGCAAAAGTGAAATCATTGAAGCATCACATCATTTTTAAGATAGGACCTTTATTTTGAAACTCCCATGGCAAGTCTGTGTCACCATTTCTGTCCCCAGTTCAAACAGTCCTGGTGGCCTAGCATCAGGCAGCTATCAGCAAATATCACATCATCCTCCAAAGAATCAATATACAGTCAGGTCCATAATTATTTGGACAATGATACAGTTGTCATCATTTTGGCTCTGTACACCACCACAATGGGTTTTAAATGAAACAATGAATACCTGCTTAAAGTGCAGACTCTCAGCTTTCATTTAAGGCTTTTTTCAAAAATGTAGTATGAACCTTGTAGGAATGACAATCATTTCTTCACACAGTCCCCCGACTTTAAGGGCTCATAAGTATTTGGACAAACTAACATAATCATCAATTAAACAGCCAGTTTTAATACTTGGTTGCAAATCCTTTACAGTCAATGACTGCCTAAAATGTTGGACACATAGGCATCATCAGATGCTGGGTTTCTTCCCTGGTGATGCTCTGCCAGCCCTTTACTGTAGCTGTCTGCACTTCCTGCTTGTGTTTTGGGTGTTTTGCCCTCAGTTTTGGCTTCAGCAAGAGAAACGCATGCTCAATTGGATTCAGGTCAGATAATATGACTTGGCCATTGCAGAACATTCCACTTCTTTGCCTTAAAAATGTCTTTGGTTGCTTTTGCAATATGCTTCAGGTCAATGTCCATCTGCACTGTGAAGCATCGTCCAATGAGTTTTGAAGCATTTAGCTGAATCTGAGCAGATAATGGTGCCCCAAACACTTCAGCTTTCATCCTGCTGCTCTTGTAAGCAAGACAAGACTTCACTAGAATAAATACAGAGGGTTTATCACAAGATGCAAACCATTGGTTAGCCTTAAAAATGGAAGGCCAGATTAGAGTTTGTCAAAAACCATCTAAAAAGCCTGTACAGTTGTGGATCAGCATACTATGGACAGATAAAACAAAGATCAACTACCAGAATGATGGGAAGACAAGAGAAGGAAGAAGGGAAGGAACTGCTCATGATCCAAAGCACACCACCTCATCAGTGAAGCATGGTGGAGGTACTGTTATGTCATGGCCATGTATGGCTGCCAGTGGAACTGGTTCTCTTGTATTTATTGATGATGTGACTGCTGACAAGAGCAGCAGGATGAAAGCTGAAGTGTTTGGGGCACCATTATCTGCTCAGATTCAACCAAATGCTTCAAAACTCATTGGACGATGCTTCACAGTGCAGATGGACATTGACCTGAAGCATACTGCAAAAGCAACCAAAGACATTTTTAAGGCAAAGAAGTGGAATGTTCTGCAATGGCCAAGTAATATCATCTGACCTGAATCCAACTGAGCATGCGTTTCTCTTGCTGAAGCCAAAACTGAGGGCAAAACACCCAAAACACAAGCAGGAAGTGCAGACAGCTACAGTAAAGGGCTGGCAGAGCATCACCAGGGAAGAAACCCAGCATCTGATGATGCCTATGTGTCCAACATTTAAGGCAGTCATTGACTGTAAAGGATTTGCAACCAAGTATTAAAACTGGCTGTTTAATTGATGATTATGTTAGTTTGTCCAAATACTTATGAGCCCTTAAAGTCGGGGGACTGTGTGAAGAAATGGTTGTAATTCCTACACGGTTCATACTACATTTTTGAAAAAAGCCTTAAATGAAAGCTGAGAGTCTGCACTTTAAGCAGGTATTCATTGTTTCATTTAAAACCCATTGTGGTGGTGTACAGAGCCAAAATGACGACAACTGTATCATTGTCCAAATAATTATGGACCTGACTGTAATTTCATGGTGTGATGAAACTTGATGAAACTACTTTTTATTGGATGAATTCAATGTTCAACACATGTATCACCAGTCTAATGATGATAAAGCCTGTGGGGACAACAGCCCATATTTCTGGAGATCCCGTATAGCCAGCTGATATCTTGGTCAAAACTTTACCTACCGCTCAAACGTGATTGGTCAGTACTATCCCCACTACAAACAGAAATCTGAACACTTTTGATACCAAATCTGTCAAGACTAAACAAATAATAAAGTTGCTTGAAAAAATTCTCAGATAAGTTGATAATGAAAATTACTGTTAGTTGCAGTTGCAAACTATAAAATGAGATGAAATATGTGATAAATCACAATGATCCTTTAAGTAGAACTGTATAAATAAAACTTGTGGGGAAAAAACGGATTACATCATAAAAAGTGAATGCTTAAGAGCAGCAGTTGTAGCCAAAAAAAAAAGACAATATGAAGCAATTTGTGAATTCATAGCATATAAATGGGTTCCCACTGGAGGACTGATTAAATATTCAATCCGTTCTGCTTTATTGATGTTATTTTCAACTCAGAAAAGTTGTAAAGGGAAAAATATTCTGATTTCCAGCACAGCTGTGGTTTCTGTGCATAAAAAACAGATGAAAGGTTCAATAAAAGCACAAAGAGAGTTACAAACTAGAATTACCGCCTCGCGGTTGTATGCCTCTGCCAACCAGCCAAGTTGCTGTTTACATCCATATCTGTCCAGACTCATATGTACCCACAACAGTAAACAATACTTAAAATATGGATGGTGCCACAAAGAAGTTACAAACTCTAAAGCATGGATGCCTCACACACACACACACACACCTTCAACTCAGCAACACAGAAGATCTATACAATCTACACATTTTGAAGATGAACATCCAAGATTAATGTCCCCAATTCAGTATCTAAACAAATGTCTCCCCTTCTGTTTCAGAGATTTGATGTTGAATAATGGCCAGAAAATATTATGATGTCACAGTGAAGCTGACCTTTGACTCACTGAATATAAAATACCACTTCATTATTTTAACCAATTAGACTTGTGTGACTTGAATTTTTGGCCAAAAACATGCTTTGTGAGGTCACAGTGACCTTTGACCACCAAAATTTTATCAATTCATTGCTGAGTCCAAGTGGACATTTGTGCCAAATTTAAAGAAATTCCCTCAAGCAGTTCTTGAGATATCACATTTACAAGAATGGGACTGACACAAGGTCATAATGAACTTGACCTCTGACCACTTAATGCTATCAAGTTCATTTTTGGGACCAACTGGACATATCTGCCAAATTTGAAGGAATTCCTTCAAAGCGCTGTCAAGGTATCAGGTTCAAGAAAATGAAACGGACCAAAGGTCCCAAGGACCTTGACCTTTGACCACCAAATTCAGACCAGTTCATACTTGAGTCCAAGTGGACATTTGTGCCAAATTTGAAGAAATTCCCTGAGGGCATCCTGGAGATATTGTGTTCTATTAAGACGTAAGGACTTACATACAGACAGACAGCTAACCCAAAAACACAATGTCTCCAGCCACAGCTGTCAAGGGTGCAGAGGCATAAAAATATTCTGCTACATTTCTGCAATGGAACCAATTTGTAAAATCCACTGACATTCCAGACTATCCCAAAGACTTTACGATACTCAAGGAACTTCATACAAAATGTCTACCATTTTTTCTGTAGCTTTTTGGATAAAGCAGGCATTCTCATTTCCATGGTTGGGAGTTCATTTCCCATTGGAGTCCCCCGTGTCACAAATGCACACATTCACAGCCCTGC